GAAAATCATTGAGTTTCAAGGATATCATGAATCGATCAATCTGCACACGGTTAAGCATTCATGCTCGAGACCGAAATTCCTGATCTTGATTCTCGCGTTCGGAGGTTGTGGATGCGCATTGCTGATTAGTCCCATTGTAGGGAACGAGAACACAGGTGGGGCAACCGAATTGTATTTAACGAAAATTACAGAGTTACTCAGTAAAATAGGGAAAAACCATATCGTAAATCGTTCATTTGCAAAATATCAGTTCATCATATCGAACTGGAGGACTGTTCCTGTTGCAAAACATCATCAATCCATTGTCACTGTTCATGCGTTTCATACAAATTCCATTGTGTTCTTCTAACTCTTCCTTTCTCTTGATCTTCCCCCATCTGCTGCTGCGAGACATTACGTTGACACTCACGTCATATACTACTTATAAGTAGCTCACAGCACACATCATCATCATAATGATGATAACAATAATCCTGTTAATATCTCTCTTTTTTTAAATAAACTAAATTTTTATCATGATAGGAGGATGATGGTAAGTTCATATGAAGTAAATATTTTCATTATGTATATATATAAGTACGCATGCATGCTAAAAGAATGTCAAGTTGTGCATAACTACCTTTCTATCTCTCTCTCTCTCTACGTGTGTGTGTGTTTATGAGTGTGTCAGTGTTTATGTGCATGTACCGATAATCAATAAAAACAAAACCTGACAAGACTTTCTGCTCAAGGATTATTTATACTAACAATACTACTACTATTATTATTAATAATAATAATAATAATTTGCATTACGGGGTTGTGAAGATTGTTAAGTTACACATTTTTGAAACCATGAATCGATCAATGATGTTAGACCACCATTAGAAACCTGGAAGAAGCAGTGGACGGCCGTTTCGTCCTGGTATGGGACTACTCATCAGTGGCAGTGCGCATCCAAGACTCCTGCACTTCGCGCAGGATTCGAACCCTCAGGTATTGTCAAGAGGAAGGCTAATATTTCACAATGTTTTTCTAAAAATACCTAATTTACCATAAGTGATCGTCTATTCATTTGACTTACTCGTCAATTGATATGCTTGAATGCTATTAAAAGTTCACCACCTAACTCGGTAAACGAGAGCGAAGACAAATGATCCACTGATACGATAGGCTACTCTAATCTGAGCGTCCAAAGGCCTCCCATTAAATAGTTGAAGGAGTCTTGATATAGCGTAGAAAGTGTATTCTATGAGCAACTAGAACATGTGAGGTTTCTTCAAGCACACAAATCCAGTTTCTTTATACATGATAGAAACGTTCTTGGAAGTGCCACAAAAATAGCGTACTAAAATAACGTCAGTCAAGGATTTCCCGAAGTGGGAAATGTAATTCCAAGGTCAACCTTGATCAACCCATGCTCGAAAACATAAATAATTCAAAATTAGGACCTTTGTCAAATGTGTTCTGGGGGATCTGATGTCCTCAACATCATTAAGCATGTTTTTACTTAAAGTGTGTTTCTTCCATCTCTCCTCTATGTATAATATGTATGCATGATGAATAAGTCTTTGTTATTTCCCTTACCATTGATTTGCCATTCAATAATCAATATGTTTCCAACTTTAATCATGATAGAGTTGTGCAGATTATTGAGTCTCATTGTAATCGTGAACTGATCATTGTTAGAACACTATGAGAAACTGTGAAGCACTGAAACGGCCGATTTGTCCTGGTATGGAACACACGAGTTTGCTATATATTAAACATGTTCACCGAACGGTCGTAAAATCCATGGTTAAAAACCCATACAACAGTCCAATTCGATCTGATACTCGATGTATTTTCAAATCGATTACCAATCGTTCAACAGTCAAACATAACAATTTCTTAGTAGATTATCAGGACCTAGCTCAATATTTCAACACGTTGTAAATGAGTATCATTAAAAATTATCTAAACGTTAAATCAACAGTGCTCGTCCAAGACCCTCACACTCGCGAATCAAAAACAGGAATTTCGATCCTATGAAATCGCTTTACCTCTACACCACTGGGCCGGCGCATCCAACGGTGTTATTGTCTAACTATGATCAATCCTAGGTATTGCGCAACCTCACCCATTATGAAGTTTAGGATTATTGTCTAGGAGTTAAGTGTTCCCGCGCGAGACCGAAGGTCCTGATTTTGTTTCTTGCATTCAGTAGTCGTGAATACACACTACTGATAAGTCCTATACAGGGACGAAATGGCCTTCTAATGCCACCAGGATTCTAATGATTGTCTAACAACGATCGATTCGTCATTTCGATGGAATTGTTAATTCATTTGATTAGAAATGAGAGTAAAATGTAATTTATTTTGATATTCTACAGTTATATGTTATGTGACTGTAACCCAATATACGTTTATTATTCTAACCTTCATAATATATGGTATTATTGTGAATGTTTAAATAATTGTATTTGCTACTTAATCACCCGATGTACTTTGAATTAATTGTGTTTTATAATTTATACTACTTATAAGTAGACAAATTCGAAACTTAAAAATGTGTCAATTTTTTCCTTTTTTGTGACTTCTATGATCTTTCTAATAGCATGTCCCCATAATTATGAGTGTAATGTTTGCTAAATCTTGATCATATTATTTGTTGTAATTATCTTGTGTCTTTGCAAAAAAAAATCAATTATATAAATACATTTATAGTTCATTTTTAATATGACCAACAAATGAATTCACTTCAATCAGTCAGTTGCAACGTAGAACTTCGTACGTACGCACGTAAGTTCAGGTTGTCATACCATATTGGTACAAAGATGCGATTTATCAGTTCAGGTCACATAGTGGTAGATAGTAGAAGTGGCCTTACCGCCTGAGACGGATATCCGTTGGGTAAGGTGAGGTGTTACCTTTTTAGGGTCGACCTCTTCTAACACCTTCCTTCCTTTAGTGAGAAGGCTGGTTGTCCGAGAGAAACACCTTACTGCCATCACACCATTCTACAGTCAGCAGTACGACTTCGTCCTTAGACCTTGAGTTACTGCTGTTAGTCTTACCATTCTCCAATCGACCTACAAGAACATTTATTTCAGTAAATATTGTTCGGTTAGGTCATTACTGTAGGCAAGCTCGACCACCACATCAAGATAACAGCTACGGTTGAGGAATCCATTTCACTATTTCAATACTTTCATGATGCTAATTCACAAACAAATCTGTACAGTCCAAAGTGAAAATAACATCTTTTGAAATCAGTGTGATATATATGTGTGTAATGTCACCGTTTTACTCTTGTGATTTGTTGCATGCTAAGGAGTGTCGACCAAGAATCGGAGAATAAGATGAAGAATGTGTGTAACTTATATCTCTTACAATCTAACCATAGATTTACTTGAAAGTCAATAAAATCTACATGAATATATATATTTTGGATAGTAATTCTCCGACGATCAATAATACTCACAATATTCAAACTTTATTTTCAGTCACACTTTTGAATTAATCGATAACAATCTTTGTACCATCTTTTGACAGAAGATAAGAATTTGTACTTTTATTCTATACTTTGCTCAAAAAACTTTGCCGGTATTTTGAAATGACATGTTTTAAGTTTTTTATGTAGAAAAGATGTTCCGTATATGAACAGTTTTCAGGGTAATTGTGTATATCTGTACAAATTTTGTACCGATAAGATTTTTTCTTGTACTGAACGGGATGCGGTTTTCCTCGTCGAAATGCAAAATGTTGCTTAAGATTGGGTTGCATCGGCACCGGAACTAGTGATAGGGAGTGAAGTAGTCGAACGTGTAGACTGCTTTATTTATTTTGGGAGTCTCATCAGCGCCGATGGCCTGGTGACTGACGAAATCTCAGCTCGGATACAGAAGGCTCGATTGGCTTTTGCCAACCTGCGTCACTTATGGCGTAGGCGAGATATCCGTTCGCTAACCAAAGGACGAGTGTACTGTGCAGCAGTTCGCTCTGCTCTTCTATATGGCTGTGAAACATGGCCGTTAAAAGTAGAAGATATTCGTAGGTTACTAGTATTCGATCATAGATATTTAAGAAACATTGCTCGTCTATCGCGGGACAACCGAGTAAGCGATGCTGTCGTTAGGAAACGGGTACTAGGTAAGGGTGGCAGATCAATAGATGAAGTATTGAAGCTTCATCAGTTGAGGTGGTTGGGACATGTGTTACGTATGGCTAACCACTGACTGCTTCGACGAGCTATGTTTTGTGGTGTGGGAGTAGGTTGGAAGAAAGTTAGGGGTGGCCAGACCAAAACATGGCACAAATCCATGAAATCACTGACAAGTACAGTGAGTCATGTTGGTAGTTGTCGACTACATGGTTTGGGTCCGCGTGACGAAAGTCAACAATGGTTAGAGACCTTGAACGACGTGGCTCAAAATCGTTTGCAATGGCGCAAGTGCATCCATTCTTTGAGCTCTCTGAAATCCTAATCTTCTGGAATCGTCAGCACCTCTAACTATGTCTTTCTAACCTTATCTCACTGTATTATATTTCTTGAATAATATCTTCAAACCCTAATCTTCTTCATTACCATTAATACCTCTACTATCTTTATCACAATGGGATTTGATTTGACATTTGCGTCTGTGTGCTAATGTGGTATGGCAACATGAACTTATGTACATACGTACGAAGTTCTACGTTGCAACTGACTGACTGACTGATTTTACTGAATGGTATGCAATGTTATATACATACACATCTTACATAATTCATTTGTCAACTACAAATATGTATACTTACTTATCTTCAAGTCTTATTGTATACATATTTGCTATTACAATCCAATTACCTCAACACGAAATAAGTGAGCGCCTCGAGTTCAAACCTACAACTTTAAGATTGAACATTGAATATGCATGTTTTATTTTTCTTTTTTGTTAGTTTATTGAATATTGAAAATTGAAAAAAAAGTTTCTTTTTATTTATTTATAAAAAAAACCACTCTTTGATGATGATTACACTATTTTTTTTGTGCCCCAGTTGTTCTAGGCTCAATACTTGGAATATTAATCTTCCTTTTGGCTATTCTCTTAGTTGTTTATAGTCTAAGACATAAGTAAGTTCAAGTTGTTTTGACGTTCAATGTTCAATATAAATATATATATTGAATAGTGTTCAGTTTTTTTTTAAATATATGTGATGTCTGGTGTCATTCATTCATGTTACTGTCTATTCATTTTGTTTATTACTGATTATGTTTAATCGCTGAACCTTTTAATACTGATTCTGTAACCGTTTCTCGATTGCTCTCCACTTAGGAATTTTCTATGATCGTGTCTTAAGCAGAAGCTAGAAAGTGAGGAGTATTAAAAAAGAACCTTTATTAATGATGGGGTTTATGTAGGATGATATTGTCGTAGAAGCTTCCAAGTGCATTCTGAATGTAGTAATAAGCTTGATTTTTATTCAACTAGGTTATTGGTCCAACCTCTTAATAGAACTCTCTGAGTAGTTTCTATTGAGTATAGATTGGAAGAATTAAATTTTTCTAACCATTTCTCATGTTCTCAGAACTTTTGTGCGTGAGAGTTCTCGGTGCCCCCCTTCCAACAATTATGATTAGACTAAATGTTTCCATTATTCAAATTAACTCAGTCAGATGGAATTAACACGATTAATGATATTAAGGGTATCAAAATATCTTTAATAATGATATCTTACTTAAACCTGTTACCTCCCTCAAAAGAGCATAGACTGCCGACCAGCATTCTTGAATACACTCTGTCCTGGGCCTTCCTTTTCAGTTCCGTCCAATCGCTATTCATTCTTCTCGGCCTAATGTATTCTTTAGTCTCCCTCTTTTTCCTTTAGCCCTGAGGATTCCAAATGAAGGCTTCTGTTGTGACGTATTTTGATGCTTTCCTAAATGTGTCCCATCCGACCCTAGTGCTTTTCCCTAATGTCTTTCTCAACTGCGATCTGGTTTGTTCTCTCACAGCAGGTTGTTGCTGATAGTGTCTGGTTAACGGACTCGTTGTACCTTGTGTAGGTAACTGTTAATAAACCCTAGTATCTTATAGATGATGGCTTTCTTAGTTCTCCAAGTTTCAGCTCTATAAATTAGAATTATTTTGACTTTTTTGCTGAAATTTGTGTGTTTGCTGTTTGTTCCTTTGAGTCCCAGATGTTCTTCAGTTGTAGTAAAACTACCCTTGCTTTGCGGATCTGCCTCTTTTCCTCAGCATTAGATCCACCTTGTTGATCGAAGCTGCTACTTAGATATCTAAAGGTTTTTACTTCTTCCAAAGATTCCCCAACAGGTGTGATTTGGTTGGTGCATGTGGTGTTGTATCGTGGGATCTTGCTTTTTCCTTTATGTATTTGGAGATCTACTGCTGCAGAGGTTTAGTTTTCGAGGGGAGGGGTCGCTAACCGCATTCTCAATCCTCCTCCTTTATCCGGGTTTTGGACCGGCAGTAGCCATTGAAAGGCTCCAGGTGCAGTTCATTAATATGATCGTCAGTAAATAAGAATAAAATCTTCGCGAACAAGATTTAAGAAATAAAAATGAATCCGAAAGATGGATATTATAAGAAATTACGTAGACCTAAGGGATTCGCAACAGTGTCATCGATTATAGATTCTGTTACTTAGCATCTATAGCCATGAATTTATTGGGGACGTTAGATCCCCAGAATTCGCTCGATGAATGTCTTAATTTTGAATGTAATTCATGGGCTGATCAGCTGACCTTGAGATTACATTTCCCACAGGGAAAATCCTTGGCTGTGATTGGTTGCTCTGTTATTCGTGTGTGCTATTTTTGCGTTTCTTCCAAGGACGTTTCTATGATGTATAAATATGTTAAGTCCAGAGGTTATGCGTTTACGTGAAAAACCGAAGGTCTTGGGCTTGAATCCTGCCAGCATTAGGAGTCATGGATGAGCACTGCAGATGAGTCCCATTCCAGGACGAAACGGCCGTCTTTCAGTGCTTCCAGGTTTCTAATGTGGTGGTCGAAAAATAATTCATTCATGACTTCAATATAAAACTACCATCTCTGTAGCACTCTAAATGTAGAATGAAATCTATGAAACATTCTACGAGACGACCTATTATGAAACATGGTCGGTAAGAAATGAAGATATTCATAGGTTATTAGTATTCAGTTATAGATGTCTTCGAAGTATTGCTCGTTTCTCTTCGAACTATCGAGTCAGCAATGCGGTGGTTAGGAAACGAGTATTGGGTAAGGATGGCAGGTCAGTAGATGAAGTAGTGAAACTTTATCAGTTGAGTTGGTTGGCACATGTGTTGCATATGCCTAACCACCGACCGCCTCGTCGAGCTATGTTTTGCGATATAGGAATAGGTTGGAAGAAAGCTAGGGGCGGCCAAACGAGAACATGGCATAAATCCATAAAGTCACTGACAAGTGGATTGAGTCATGTTAGTAGGTGTAGACTTACCTGGTTGGTGTCCGCGAGACGAAAGAAACCGATTGTTAGAGACCTTGAATGAGATGGCTCAAAATCCTTTGGAATGGCACAGATGCATCCATTCTTTGTGTTCTCTGAAATTCTAGTAGTCTGAATTCATCATCACCTTTATCTTTCTCTGCTCAAGTTTATTTAATTAGATTATACTCCTTGAATAACTTATTCGTACTCTATTCTTTCCGTTTATTGTTAAGCTTTCTACTATATCTACCACTATGGGATTTGAACTGACAATTGCGTCTCTAAGCTAATGCAGTATGGTAATCTGAACTGATGCACTTACGTACGTACGAAGTCCTACGTTGTAATTAACTGACAGACTGACTGACTGACTGACATAATCACTCAACTTATACTATATATGGAGATCTGTTTATAAGTATAATTGCCTTCATTATCTTATCAACTATATATATATTTCTCTGTTATTCAGATTATTCGAACATTATCATAAAACAATCGATTTAGCTGCAATCTCATCATCCAGTAGTCGTCTTGCTTCAGCTTCATTGACAACATTTCATCGATCTAAAGATACTTTATTATTTCCAACATGGAAAAAATCACTCCTCTCTTTTCATAATAATAATACAACTACTACTGATAATAAAAATAGTAGTAATAAATTACATCATCACAATACAATTTTCACCAACGGATCATTATTCAAATCTTATCCACATTTATTAAGTCATCATAATATAAATGAAAGTTTCCCAGATTTTCCCAATACAATAATACAACCACAACCACCGCAACAGCAAACCATTTCACTGAATGCATCAACGACTATTTCCGGTGTACACAAGAAGTCATCAAATATTGATTTTATTACCGATGGCTACTTACCACCATGGCGTAACAACAACTCGTCATCATCGTATTTAAAACGGAATTCAAAAACACCAACAGCTATTTCAGCTTTGACTTTGGTACCGAATACACCGAATTCCGATCGTCGACAATTTATGAGTTCATTACCATGGTTACGTACCAATTCTACATCACATATTGGTAATCATAGTAGTAGTGGGAATGGTATACATCATCATAGTAGCAATAATAATAATAGTAATAATAATAATCATTCAAGATTTGGTGCTTCTAGTAGTGAAACTATTCTATTCTCATCAACAATCAATCCACCCAATGGGATACCACGTTCATGGTGGTTACCATGGCGTAGAAGTATGCGCAAGAAACGTCGTTTATATACACAATTACAAAGACGTCAAGAAATCCAGTCGTCGTTATCACAACGTGGTCTATTAGACTCGTCTGGTAGTTTTTTAGGCAAATCAACACCTCAACTGCCGAATAATCGATATTTCATGATGAAATCATCAAACCATAATAACCATAATACTCATGAATTAATTAAACCAGGAGAATCATCTGTACCGATGATGATGACGACGATGCCTCCTTCTACATCATCGTCACCTTCATCAACATCATCATCATCATTTTCAAACAAAGAAGATTTAAGTCATCATCCACATCAGTATTCACATTCACAGCAACATCCATATTCGTCGAATCATGTCCAATTAAGATCGGAACAATCTGTACATGATAATCATGTCAAACAGATTGCTAATAAAACCATAACAACCACGACACAACCAGATGGTAGTAGTAATCATTCCAGTCGGATGATAAATGATTTCTATGTGAATAATGATTTGGCGAATTCACCAAATCATAACAATAATACTAATAATAATAATGGATTGAATATGTCATTATCGATTTATTCGAAAACCAATTCATCCAATAATCATAATAATACTCATCAATCAAATTCATGGATCAATGTAAATGACAATGATGATTTACCATGGAAATTTACACCACCAAGTAGAAATAGTTTTAGTAATGGTATACGACGGTTGTCGTCATTTTTTCGTGGTTTCAATCAAAGCAATGGTTCATTTACACCACCAAAATATATTAATCATCACCATAGTCATCATCCTATGAATTATGGATTATCAACTTATAAAAAATCATCATTTCGTTCATCATCGTCATCATTTCATACTGCACGTTCAGAGATGATGCCATCAATGCCCACGTTGCCAACATTTACTAATCATCATCAACATCATCATCAGCATCATTTAACAACTACAGCTACTACTAATACTACTAATAATAATCATAATAGTAGTAGTGGTCATTTCGGTTCATCATCGATTCATCATCATTACCCAATGGATAAACAACATTTTGATTCAATTCGATTGAATGGACGTTATATTACACATCCATTGATGCAACCAGCAATGCAATCTATGTCTGGTAAGTTGCATGTATGCATATATATATATATATATTGGTTTGCTTTGACATTTGTTTCTGTTTTTAGTTTATATTTTTATACTACTTATAAGTAGTTGAATGGAAACTATTGTAATGATTGATATTCGGGCAGAGTTTTGGAGGTTTTGTGTTTTTTTGAACATATTTGAAATCATCAATCAATCAATCATTGTTAGACGATGGCTGTTTCTTCCTGGTATAGGACTCATCAGTGACAGTGCGCATCCATGACTCCTGCACCTCGCAGGATTCGAACCCGGGACCTTCAGTTTTGTCCGCGAACGCCTGACTATCGGGCCACTGGGCCTGCATCCAACGGTGTTAATGTCTAACTCTGATTGATCTACGGATTTTGCGCAACCTCACCCATTTGTCTTTGGTAGTTACTGCCTACACCCGACAGAGTTGAACTCCATTAGTCACGTCTTCTCAACTAGAACTCCGAGAATTTTCTCATGAAGCTAGTCACTAGCGAGCACTGTTAAGATATTTTGGGGCAGAGTTTTGGAGGTTTCGTGTGTTTTACCCATGTGCTATCATCAATCAATCATTGTTAGACCATCATTAGAAACCTGGAAGCACTGGAAGGCCGTTTCGTCCTGGTATGGGACTCATCAGCATTATTGTAATAATGATTGAACAAACTTCTCACTAAGGAATTGATGATTAGACATGATTTCTTAAGTTCTAATGTGAATCTGTAGAACCACTGGTATTCATTCGTAGCTGGTATTGTGTATTATATTGAATTGATTCCAAGTTAAGTATGTAAATAACTGGTTAAACATTCGTTTCAAGACCTGAATGCATTGGCTTTACTATGTGATTGAGTCATTAATGTGTATTACCGAGTAGTTATATATATATATATATATATATATATATATATATATATATATATTACGAGACGAAACAACTGTTCAGTGTTTCTGTAGAGTGTAATGGACACCTGTCGAGGTCACCTGGCTTGTCCTAGCTTTTAAACAAGCTGGTACTTTCTTTCACACATTGAAATCATGAATCAATCATTGTTAGACTAACATTAGAAACCTCGAAGCACTGGTCAGTCAGTCAGTTGCAACGTAGAACTTCGTACGTATGTACATAAGTTCATGTTGCCATGCCACATTAGCACAGAAACGCAAATGTCAAATCAAATCCCATATTGATAAAGATAGTAGAGGTATTAATAGTAATGAAGAAGACTAGGGTTTGAAGATATTATTCAAGAAGTATAATTCACTAGAGGTACTGACGAATCCAGAAGATTAGGATTTGAGAGAGCACAATGAATGTATGCATTTGCGCCATTGCAAACGATCTTGAGCCATGTCGTTCAAGGTCTCTAACCATTGGTGACTTTCGTCTCGTGGACCCCAACCACGTAGCATACATCTACCAACATGACTCAGTCCACTTGTCAGTGACTTCATGGATTTGTGCCATGTTTTGGTGTGGCCGCCCCTAGCTTTCTTCCAACCTACTCCTACACCACTAAACATAGCTCGACGAGGCAGTCGGTGGTTAGGCATTAGTAACACATGTCTCAGCCACCTCAACTGATGAGGTTTCAATACTTCATCTATTGATCTGCCATCCTTACATAGTGCTCGTTTCCTAACGACAGCATTGCTTAATCGGTTGTCCCATGATATACGAGCAACGCTTCGAAGACATCTATGATCGAAAACCAGTAACCTACGAACATCTTCTACTCTGAAAGGCCATGTTTCACAGCCATATAGTAGAACGGAGAGAGCTGCTGTGCAGTAAACCCATCCTTTGGTTATCGAGCGGTTGTCACGCCTACGCCATTCGAAGCACTGGACGGCTGTTTCATCCTGTTTCTGGATACATTATCGGTATCCATTCTGAACTCCTTTATATTGGTTCATGGAGATGGTTGGATGCTATTGAGACCATTGAATAATATGAATTCAAGGTTCTGTAATGGTTATCTAACATAGGTTGTTTTGATGAGCAGAGTTTGAGATATCAACGCCAATACAATAATAATCCCCACCAAGTAGACAAAGGTGAAGAGAAAGTCTATTTGCCGACGGCATCATAAACATCTATACTCATTTATATAAATTTTTATTTCTCTTAGAAAATGATTCCACTTTTCAACCAATCATGCTCATTTGTCCTTGAAGACATTTCTGACGGCCATCAAGTGACCTTCTCATCAGGCTACTTTTGATTGGCTGTTTCTATGCATTAGTTTGGTTCATTATCTCAAATCATATTCATTAAGCTGATAATGTCAATTTGTTTTTAGGCTTCACAAACATAGACTTTAACTTATTCCTCATTGATATGATCCTGTGTACACATAAACACTATAATGTTGTATCATGAAACTTATGGAAAAAAACCGATAGATTGAAATCTTGATTTGAACATTTTCAAACTGACAAATCTAAGAAAGAATAAGCTAAAATCACTTAACTGGGAAAATCGTAAACTATTTTATTACGATTAGAATCAATTGTGTACTGGATAATAAGGTAACTGGTACACATTACGTTTGATCAATGGATGATTCGCGAACAACGGAACTCGAGCTAAAGGCAGAAGTGTTGTGTTGTTTACATGAGCCAATAGACATATTATCTTTAGGCGATCAATATGCAACAAGGATGACAGATTTACTACTCTCTGCTTGAAAGATAGTCCAACAAACACCAATGACCATGAAACCAAGATTTGTTACTATATTTCAAACGTTCGTATATATTTATACATGTAGGATTTCATTCGTCCTACTACAGATGTCGTTTATTGACTTTGAACACAATTTTGGCGAGCACATAATCTGTGAGAAAGCTATAGTCAGAAGAACAAAGACAACCTAGCTTTAAACTTTATCTACCTCCAAACATAAAAACAATTAAATTAGTACAATAAATAAGGAAATTACGGTTATCATACGTGAAGCGAGCAAACATACCGATCAACATAACGTGTCTTATGGAAATGAATAAGGTTATGAGTCACATCAATAATAATAAGATAATAAGTGTCCTTCAATTAGTAGAGATCATTTATAACAAAGATAGTTTACAAACACATGTCAGATCATATCACGTGATGAATGCTTAGACTACAATTTGATTGGTTAGTTAGTTCTGAAAATAATTGACATACACACACACACACACGAATCGATCACATCATACCAATAAATAGAAGTGGACGGATGAGTCAAACGTGGCTGTGTATAGGAGAGACAGTGAATAATAAACCGTCAACAGATACATACAACTATGTCTAGTAGGGTTATTCAAGAGCTCACAATACAAGGAATGTATATAGATATGTGCAACAATACTCCAAAAACCGGGCTCTTAAATTGTTATTTACTTATAATCTTCATCCGGATGTAACAAGGAGTATAGGAAACGTTAGCACTCAGAAAAAATAGAATTGTAGTAACTCGAATTTGTAATTGTTATGCCTGCACGTAAACACGTCAACTTGATATGCTTGAACTATTACGAGTTTGCCCAGTCGGTAAACGAGAGTGAGGATCGAGGATCCGGTGACACGACATGCTACTCAAATCCGATTATCCCAATCCCCATATTGAGTAAAAATAAGAAGACTTGGTATGAAGTAGAACATGTATTCAACATGCATCCAGAAAGTATGAGGTCCGAGTCCAAAAGAGTATCAGGATCCCAGAGTAGGGATCCGAGACCGGATCCTGGTCCTAGTATGTTACAGATAATGCGTATTTATACATTTTGGTCGAATGAGAAACAGCATCGAATTCTGTGACATTGACAGTTAAGACGACTCATAGGAAGCAACATTTGAAGTGACATTGATAGTCAGGACAACCTATAAGAAGCAACATTGGAGCACGTAACATTGATATCTAGGACGACCATAAAATTGACCAGTAGGAATTAACTAACAGAAATTGACCAATAATTCTCTTAGGATATTGGATGAATAGCCTAACAGTAATATATCAAACAATAAACCACGATCTTGAAATATAGAAATGTGAACACATTAAAATGTGATAGCAGCTGATTTGACACAAGTAAAGATTGTGGAAATAATAGAACAGTTGGAAATAATGTATTTTCAGAGCTATCTTGACTATTAAAAACAAGATAACTTGATATCTTGTTTGAACTGTCAAGTTTTCAATAATAAATAGGTTGTACTGAGTTCGTTCGGATATTTTCACACACACACACACACACACACGCACACATACAAATTCAGCATGAGATCTTCATATCCAAATGCAGTTTTCCAAGGATTTAGAGTTATATGTAACTGTCAACTGTTGTGAACACATCAGTCTAGCATATCGCAAAATGTCGAACTAAAAACGTGTAGCTTTTACTTCAAAATGAAAATTATGCTTGAATATAATAGGACCGATCCACTGAATAACCAGAAAAATGAAAAACGAAAGTAGCCAATCAATAATAAAATAGGAGAACGTTTATGTTAACTAAAAAAAATTCTGATTGGCTGATATGGATTCTCCTACAACCAACCATTTGACCAATCAGAACAAACAGTCATGTATTTTACAACTTCACAAAAAGAACGATATATTAGAATTGTAATAGCCAGAATAACGAAAATGTATTTGTAAGAATGTAAATGTTTATTTGGAATTTCCAAAAGAATCTTCTTCAATCTACTCAATCCCTTCCAACTACAGCTCATTGATTAGTTAAGGATGAATCAACTAACTTGTGTGTGTGTTATGATTTGAACCTGATATTCAGAGATTAATTTACAAGTTGACTTCAAGGAAACATGACTATTTAAATCGTTAGTTAATGAAAATTTCCGTAATGACATTTACCGGATCAGTAATTAAGGTGAAACGTATTCACAACATTCTAATATATATATAGACATATCCACTGTAGATAGCAACCCCTTTTGTTTAACGATAATTCAGTCAGTCAGTCAGTCAGTTGCAACGTAGAACTTGGTACGTAAGTACATCACTTCATGTTGCCATACCATATCAGCAAAGAGATATAATTGTCAATTCAAATCCAATAGTAGTAGAGGTAGTAAGGAAATTAGAAGTAATCGGAGAGGTTAGGGTTAGAAGATACTATTCAAGAAGTATGATTCAGTGAGAAAAGTTTAGAAAGACAAAGGTAGAGGTGCTGACGATTCCAGAAGATTAGGATTTGAGAGAACACAAAGAATAAATGCACCGGCGCCATTGCGAACGATTTTGAGCCATGTCATTCAAGGTCTCTAACCATCGATTATTATCATCTCGCGGACCCCAACCAGGTAGTCGATAGTCACCGACATGACTCAGTCCACTCATCAATGACTTCATGGATTCCTTCCATGTTTTGGTTTGACCGCCCCTAACTTTCTTCCAACCTACTCCTATACTACAAAACAAAGCTCGTCGAGGCAGTCGGTGGTTCGGCATACGCAAGATATGTCCCAACCACCTCAGCTGATGAAGTTTCACCACTTCATCGATTGAACTGCCATCCTTGCCTAGTACTCGTTTCCTAACGGCAGCATTGCTTATTCGGTTGTCCCACGGTATACGATCAATGTTTCGAAGACACATATGATCGAAAACCAGTAACTTACGAATATCTTCTACTCTCACTGGCCATGTTTCACAGCCATATAGGAGAACGGAGCGAACTGCTGCACAGTACACTCATCCTTTGATTAGAGAACGGATATCACGCCTACTCCATAAGTGACGCAGGTGTTTAACGATAATTACCTTTGATGGGTATTGTTTATAAATTAGAAATTAATTAAACACTTGACATGAGACCTTACACTCCTTCTAATGAATCGTCACATGTTGTTAAGAGGAAATGCTTATCTCTAGACCTTCATCAATTTTCATTAAAAAACTATTATGGGGTATTGATTGTGTTAACAAAAAAAATTTTCTCCTTTCTTCATTTTTATTTAATTAAAACAGAATCTAATGATTTACACAGAAAACACAATCAACAAATTGAGAATAGTATATGGACTACACAAACAGTGAAACCATCATCATTATTTCATCAAGATACATATCAGCTTCAACAGCATTCTCATCCTCATCAACAGCATCAGCATCCTCCGCGTCATCATACCATGTATAGTAGTGGAGATGAACACACTACCATAAATGAAATCTTATCAAGGAATACAACAAAAACTAGTTTACAAGGTAGTAGTCGAATCGATTCCTTATTATCTACAGAATTAATTGATTTATGCGGTAGTGGCAGTGGTAGTAGTAGTCATAATGGAGTACATTATAACAATACTACCAATAATACTACTAATAATCCTTTAAAAGATGATTCATTGGATAAATTCAACGGCAATTCAATTACAGTAAAACAAAATGTACCAAATTCAATGTTGTACAACAATAATAATAATAATATTAATAATAATAATTCATTATTGAATTATAATAATAATAATAATAATCACCAATTTGATTATATTGAAAAAGATGAATTACCATATTTGTTAACAAGTGATCCATATTTGGAACCAGTTTCATTGAAAAGAAGACAACACCATCAACAGCAACAGCATCGACCGCAACATCAACAACCACAACCACAGCGTGGACAATTTGAACAATTTAATTGATTCAAACAATCCTAATCCTGCTGTTGATCATTATAATGGATTGAATTTTGATAGAGTTGAGCATAAAAATGACGATTTAATTAAATTAAATTGTAAGTTTTATCTGTTGTTGTTTAAATGGATATATGATCCGTTTTGTGTAGAAAAGTTGGTAAGGATTGTTCTAATTTTCACTATAAGGTGGTTGTGTAGTGAAGGAGGAGAACACAGGTGAAGGCAACCGAATTGATTGTATTTACCCGAAAATTACAGAGTTACTCAGTAAAATAGGAAAACCATATCGTAAACGGTTAATTTGCAAATCTTCAATCCAATCCATCCATTTCACTATTCATGCGTTTCATACAAATTCCATTGTGTTCCCACTCTTCTTCCTTCCTCGATCTTCCCCTATCTTCTGCTGACAGACATTACGTTGACACTCACGTCATATACTACTTATAAGTAGCTCGCACCACAGTTGTAGAGATAAATGATTGGGTTATTTCTTTTTGAAATCATAAGTTAGACAATGTTAGACCATCATATTAGAGGATAGGAAGGATTTGGTTTTGACCAGATTGGTCTTTTGTGCTGTTACGGGTATGAGGGGGAGGGTTGTCACTTCCCGGCTGCCAACATCGTGGAAGGTTGTTTCTTGAGGAACCTGAAAAGGAAGATAGATTAGTGTTGGTCTTGGAGACCTGGGTGCGTGACCGCAGAGTCCAAGGGATAACTGCTTGAGGCCGGTCACGCACGGCATTTTTATGAAAGGTATTTTGAGGGTTAGCTCCGTTCTTAAAGGCAGTTAGTGGGCACCCTTACCGACGGAGACGGAAATCCGTGAGGTAGGTTGAGGTGTGACATTTTTAGGGTCGAACTTTCCTAACCCTTCCTTCCTTGTGAGAAGGCAGCATTGCTGTAGATGCTGCTTGTTGTCAGAGGGAAACACCTTACTGCTGTCACATCCCTCCATCACAGTCAGCAATACGACTTCGCACTCAGACCTTGGGTAGCTACTTTTAGTCTCATCGTTCTCCAATCGACCTGTCTGACATGGTAGGACCTGCAAGAACATATGTTCCAGCCAGTATAGCTCGGTTGGGTCATCACGATAGTCAAGCCCGACCAACACCACGTCAGGGTAGCAGCTACGGTCGGGTCATCATATTAGAAGGAAACCTAGAAGCACTGGAAGGTTGTTTCGTTGAAGTATAGGACTTATTAGTAGTGCGCATCCATAATTCTCACTGCTCGTAGGCATTGAACTCAGAACCTTCGTTCTTGCGCTTGGTCACCGAATCTCTGGACCACTAAGCCGGCTTCTGACTGTATTAATGTGTAACTTTGATTAACTCAGGGTACGGCGCTCACTAGTGACTAGCTCCATGAGAAATTTTCTCTGAGTTCTAGTGAGAAGTCATTACTAGTAGGGTTCAACCGTGGTGTTTGGGTTTGAAGCAGTGTTCACCTAAGCAAGTATTGTCGATCATAGTTATTTTATTCTGTCATTGAGCCACCCAGTAGATTGAACCAATGAGATTTAAAGATCCTTGCTTCTATCTCTGCAATAGTTGCGGTTGTGCATTGTTGAAAGGTTCTATGCTAAAATGAAATGGCTATACCGTGCTTCTTGATTTCTAACGGACTGTCAGTAAAACAATGACACTCTGTGATATGAACACGTTATTAGTGTCAGTTGAATAGCATTTCATTGTTCACAGATTTTAATGGTTCTATGTTTGATTCCGATATGCGGGATCAAAGATGCACAGTGCTGATTAATCGTATACCAGGACGGAAAGGCCTTCCAGTGCTTCCAAGCTACCAATGGTGTTGTGGCTAAGTGTTAGGATATTCAACCAATATCCTAAGAGAATTATTGGTCAATTCCTTTTGGTTAATTCCTACTGGTCAATTTTATGGTCGTCCTAGATATCAGTGTCACATGCTCCAATGTTGTTTCTTATTAGTTTTCCTGATTAATAATGTCACTTCAAATGTTACTTCCTATTGGTCGTCTTAACTGTCAATGTCACAGACTTTGATGCTGTTTCCTGTTCGACCAAAATGTATAAATACGCATTATCTGTAACGTTTTATGACCAGGACCCGAACCCGGATCCCTAGTACGTGATCCTGATTCTCTTCTGGACTCGGACAGCGTACTTTCTGGATGCTTGTAGAATACATGTTCTACTTCATATCAAGTCTTCTTGTTTTACTCAATCGGGGTTGGGACACTCGGATTTGGGTAGCATGTCGTGTCACCGGATCCTCGATCCTCGCTCTCGTTTCCCGACTACGGTAAACTCGTAATAGTTCAAGCATATCAAGTTGATGTGTTTACGTGCATGCGTAACACTAAGATAAGTTCGAGATTTCAACCGTGAAAACACTAATCTCTCCACAAATTCGCTTAACCTAATAACACTTTACTTAAGAAGTTTATTCACAAACGTTAAACGATTTTAGTTCAGGTTTTCAAAGTTTACTGTCATAACTTGCAGTGTTCCAGATCTAAACGCAGTGGGCTATCAACCCGCAAGCTCATTATTTGAGCAAGAATGCAAAAGCCGAATAGAAAATCTATTCGCCTAAGGAACTATATACATAGGTACTCATTTACATATGTATGCACTTCTACCCCTTAGAAGGTAAATCCATTTCCAGACCAATGAAGTGTATTCGGCCTTGAGGATATTTCTAGTTGTCATCAAGTGACCTCATTTGACGACTACTTCTGATTGGATCTCTATACCGAATGTGTACTTATAATCCTTAGTCTATTTGAAATTCATTAGCCTAAAACTAAGTCAATCATCATGAACTTAATCAATGCATCAGCAAAGTGCATTTTGAAAATTGTTACATTATTTGCACCTGACCGTACCTGCTACTTTTCCTATCCTTTTAACTGTACCTAGCTATATTGGCTGGAACATATGTTCCTGAAGGTTCTACCATGTCAGTCAGGTTAATCGGAGAACGATGAGACTAAAAGCAGCTACTCAAGATCTGAGGGCGAAGCCTAACTCCTGACTGTAGAGCGGTTTGACAGTATTATGGTGTTTCTCATGGAAAACCAGCATCTGCAACGATGCTGCCTTCTCACAGCGGAAGGAGTTAGAAAATTTCAACCCTTGCCCATACAGATTTCCGTTTCCTGCGGTAAGGCCGTTGAAATAGCTCAGCTTAAATGTCAATATATTCCTATCAAAAGGCAGTACGTGACTTGCCTCAAGCAATTATCCCTTAGGCTCTGCAATTATGTTCCTAGGTCGCTAAGACTAACGCTAACCCAACTTCGTTTATAGATTCCTCAGGGAGCACTCTTCCACGGGGAGTGATTTACACCATGAAACCTTTAGTAGCACACGAGATCAACTTGACTAGCTGTTATAATGCTGCTACGTAGCTATTCAAATCCTACCGACGTCCGAATTCAAATATTCCAATTCCACCCAAATGCTATTCCCAAATCTCCTATATATCAGAACGAAACACCGTTGGATGGAATTGTTTATTGGGTTGGGTACAGAAGAGAGGTAGGCAGGAAGGAACGGAATCATGAAGTCTTACATATAGTGCGTATTTATACATTAAGGTCGAATAGGAAAGAACATCAAAGTCTGTGACACTGACAGTTTAAGACGACGACCAATAGAAAAGAACATTTGAAATGACATTGACAGTCCGGATGACCAATAAGAGACAACATTGAAGTATTTGACCAATCGAAATCGACCAACAGGATTATACTTCCAAAAATATAGTAAGTACTCTTAGGATATTTGATGAATAATATCCTAACACTAGCTGATATAATTTGATCATATTCACTGATCATCAATATCATCTCCGATTGATTCCTGTTTTTTTTTCATTTTCCATTTTTGAAGTATCTGATCAACAACATGCCCAACATATTCATAGTGGAACAAGTTCCGCAATTAGTTCATTAGTATTTGCTGATGATTCTGACATTTCAAAAGCATCAGAACATTCAATGAATAGTGAAAAATCCGATCAATATAGTTCATTACATATGATTACATCACCGATTGTCTCATCCAATGAGAATCATTCAAACACGAATAATCGTAATTCAATGGTCAATGTTACAACAGTTGTCAGTGCTGTTTGTACTACTACTACTACTACTACGACTACTACTAGTAGTAGTATTCCTACAGTCACTGCTGTGGAAAATGCTCCTTCATCTCGTGTGAAACCCCCATCGACTATTGATTATGTTACTTATGATGAAACACGTTCATATGAAAAGAAAAATGATCCATTGATCACATTGAACAAAGTGACTGGACAACAGCAGCCACAACAACCATCGTCATATTCCATGGACTATAATCAATCGAATCCTTTATTGCCGATGATGAACAATGATAACCGTGTTGTCGCTGGCGGACAATCCATTGGCATATTAAATGATGAAGTCACACGTAGAGTTGGCACAATGAAAAGTATTTGTGTTTGTGGGATTTTATTTTTTTTTTTAAAAAAAATTATGATATGAATTTGTTACGCCTGCACTTGTAAACACGTCAACTTGATATACTTGAACTATTATTACGAGTTCACCTAGTCGGAAAAAAACGAGAGCGAGGACCGAGGATCCGGTGACACGACATGCTACTTAAATCCGATTATCCCAATCCCCATATTGAGAAAAATAAGACAAGACTTGATATAAAGTAGAATCCTGTATTCTACAAGCATTCAGAAACTACGAGATCCGAATACAGAAGAGAAACAGGATCCTGGAGTAAGGGATCTGGGACCGGGTACTGGTCCTGGTCGTGGTCATAAAACGTTACACATAATGCGTATTTATACATTTTGGTCGAATAGGAAACAGCATAGAATTGCGTGACATTGACAGTTAAGACGACCAATAGGAAGTAACATTTGAAGTGACATTGATAGTCAGGATGACCAATAAGAGACAACATTTAACTATTTGACTTTGACAGTTAGAACGACCATAATTTTGACCAATAAAAATCGACCAATAGGATTTGACCAATAATTCTCTTAGGATATTGGACGGATATCCTAACAGAATTTCAATTGTTTGATGAACCTGATCTGTGTGTGTCATCGTAATAATGAAATGACTTTAGTTCGAGTGTACTGGAATATAGATGTCTCATAGTAGTTTGGTTGGGACTTCACACAAAACAAGGGCGCATACAATTCGACTAGCTATCGAATCTATGACTTATTGATCAATTCAGCTAACGCTTAATCACATGGGCCGTTGGGGTCGAAGCTAAATAATGTACCAACGAAATTTATGTGTCAATCAATGGCAACGTAGAACTTAGTACGTATGTACGTATGTACATCAATTGATGTTCGCAGACCACATAAGCATAGAGATGTAATTGTCAATTCAAATCCCATAGTAGTAGACGTAGTACAAGTATAAAGCAGTAATCGGAGAGGTTAGGATTAGAAGATATTATTCATGAAGTAGAATCTAGTGAAATAAACTTAGAAAGATAAAGATAAAAGTGATGAGAAATTCAGAAGGTTAGGATTTGAGGGAACACAAAGAATGAATGCACCTGTGCCATTGCAAATGGTTTTGAGCCATGTCATTCAAGGTCTCCAACCATCGATTACTATCATTTCGCGGACCTCAACCAGGTAGTCGACAATTACCGACATGGCTAAGTCCACTCGTCAATCACTTGATGGATTTGTGCCATGTTTTGGTTTGGCCGCCCCTAACTTTCTTCCAACCTATTCCTACACTACAAAACAAAGCTCGTCGAGGCAGTCGGTGGTTAGGCATACGTAAGACATATCTCAAACACTTTAACTAATGAAGTTTCATCACTTCACCTATTGATTTGCCATCCTTATTTAGTATTCGTTTCCTAACAACTGTATTGCTTACTAGATTGTCCCACGATATAAAAACAATGCTCCGAAGACACCTAAGATCGAATACAAGTAGCCTACGAATATCTTCTACTCTCACTGGTAATGTTTCACAGACATAAAGTATGACGGACCGAACTGATGCGCAGTACACTCGTCCTTTGGTTAGTAGACGGATAACTCTCCTCACACCTAAAGTGACACTGGTCGGTAAAAGTCAATCGAGTCTTTTGTATCCGTGCTGAGATTTCATCAGTCACCAGGCTTTCGGCACTGATGAAACTCCCGAGATAAGTGAAGCGGTTGACACGCTAAACTGTTTCATTCCCTATCAAATTTTACATGTACGGAATAAGTGAATTATTCACCTATCGAGTGGTTATTGTTTATAAGTGTATCTATAAGTACTCATAGGTTATTCGTAATTACTTGTATTCACCATCAATGCATTCTTCGATCATTTCATTTGTCAAGTTTGTTAAGTTAATCTTTAAGTTAGATTAATAGTTGTTAAACTGAATAGTACATTATTGTACAACCTCCAGATCAAAAGACATCGATTAGCACGACGATTCTTCACTTATATCAATACATACGGACAAGTATGGACATAAATTCGATTGGAACAATGTAGAAATGCTGGATAAGGGGGGGGGACAAAGAACACTGGAGAATTTTTAGAAGCTTGATATTCATGTCAATCAGCTGTTAACAAACATATCGACATTGACCCAATTGATCAACCAATTATAAAAATCATAGGCCACATAGGATCAAAAAACATATCAAAAGGAGGATGCAATTAAAACAAAGGTGAAAACAACGACAGACTTAAGGTCAGCAGTAACCAATCAAGATCGAGGTTAGCAGAATAAGCTACAGGTCAAAAGTGGAGAGACTGGAATACTTCACTTCTATCTGAAGTTTGTGCTGATGATGTTGTTCAGAAGAACAATGGGAGCTCCACAACCAAAATATCCAACTCAGAGAACGAAACTCCGCCACACTCATCCCCCTGAGCTAAAAAGTTTCTCTACCATCTCAAGACGATTCATTTCTTTTGTAAGCTGATGTGAACAGTTAAAACATGGTACACTGGTATATTGAATTTATACAAGATGAAACAAGAGATAAACCATTCTTTACATTAAAATCATGAATGAATCGTTGTTAGACTACAATTAAAAACCTAGAAAAACACTAGACGGGTATTTCATCTCTGGTATAGTAGGACTCATCTGCAGTGCTTATCCACGATTCCAGCTACTCATGAGATCCAAACTCAAGACCTTTGGTCTTGAGCGCGAACGCTTAACCTCCGGACAGGCCTCCAACAGTAATAATGTCTAACTTTGGTCAATCTAAAGATTATTCACAACCTCACCCACTATCATCGGTATTCATTGCCAACACCCGATACCGTCCACTGGTTACGTTTTCTCACTACAACTCTGAAAACCGCGTCATTAAGCTAGTCATTAGTGAGCGCATTTTTTCATTTTTTTAATAGACTATTATGGAATCATACCAGGATGAAAGGTCCGTCTAAACAATGCTTCCAGGTTTCTAATGGTTGTCTAACAATGATTCATTCTTGATGTCTATGTATACAAGCAACGATCTTCATAATACAGTACTGAAAAATCGATTGCCTATCAGACTGTATACTTGAAATTTTCTTGTATGTTTAACTTCTTAATTATTTAATATTAACAGTAGTTTACTTACTGACTTACTTACGCCTGTTATCCCCACTGGGGCATACGACGCCTCCAACCTACTGTGTCCTCGTCTAACCTTTCCGGATCCGTTCAATTTTTATTCATTCTTCTCATGTCTGTGTTATAATGCTTTTATGTAACTACTATTTGAAATCCTACCGATTGACCGAATTCAGATATTCCAGTAAGAACCCCAAATACTACTGTTCCCGAATCTCCAATATATCAGAACACTACATCATTCGATGAAGTTATTTATGTGATCGGGTACAGAAGGGAAAATAAGCTTTACAGATAATGCATATTTATACAGTTAGGTTAAATAGGAAACAACATTGAAGTGTGTGACATTGATAGTTAGGATGACCATAATATTGACCAGTAGATATCGACCAATAGAAATAGACTCTTAGGATATTTGATAAATATCCTAACAGTCTGTCCCCATTTCTGGGCGTAATGTGCACCTTGAACTCCCTCTTCTCCTTTGACCTTGAGAATTCCAAGAGAAGAAGTGTTTTGTGACGTGGTTAGATGCTTTCATCAATCTGTGTCCTATCCACTTGCAGAGCTTTTTCCTGATTTAGTTCTCCGCTGGAACCTGGGTTTGAATTAGTTTTTCTGGTTAGCGTTTTTTTGGCAAGTTAGTTTTTGACGGAATGGGGTCGCCAACCCCATGTCCAACCCTCCTCCTTTACCTGGGCTTGGGACCGTCAGTAGCCCCGAAGGTTCTACTGGCGGAGTTAGAACCTGGGTTCTGTTCTCTCCTACAGTAGTTTGTTGGTGTTAGTATCTGACCGAAGTCTTTTTTGTAGATAACTGTTAATACATACTTGTAATTTACTATGAATTATTATCAATTGTCATCTAATTCCTCTCTTTCTCTCTCTCACACACATTGTCATTTATAACACCACCTACTACTACTACTACTACTACTACTAATACTACTAACTAGGTGATTCTGATTCCCGTCCATTATCTGAAGCAATGATTAGTAATCACTACTATGATATAAATCGTAATGCGAATTATCAAGAAATATTAACAGAAACATCATCTCAATGTGAAGATGCCAGTGGGAATGCCAATCAACAACTGATGTACAAATCTCATCCACCATTACCACCTTTATGGTCGAATAATCATCATCAACATCCTATGCAACATTTTAATAATAATAATAATATTAGTAACAGTAGAAATTTCGGTTCAGTTGACTCATTATATGAAACTGTGGATTTGCCAAGAAATCATTCAACAACACCAATGATTATACCGACAACAATGGTAAGTTACTCGTTGTTGTTGTTTTTTAATGTGTTTAACGTTATGCTATTACTTACTTACTTACGCCTGTTACCCCCAATGGAGGAGCATAGGCCGCCAACCAGCAGCATTCTCCAACCAACTCTGTCCTGGGCTTCCTTCTCCAATTCTGTCCAATGTTTGTTCATTCTTCTCATATCTTTCTCTATTTCACGACGTGTAATGTATTCCTTGGCCTTCCTCTTTTGCTTTTGCCTTGAGGGTTCCATGTGAGGGCTTGTCTCGTGATGCAGTTAGGTGCTTTTCGTAATGTGTGTCCTATCTACTTCCACCGCTTCTTCCTGATTTCCTCCTCCACTACAATCTGGTTTGTTCTCTCCCACAGTACGTTGTTGCTCATCGTGTCTGGCCGAATTTTTTGCGTAGACAGCTGTTAATAAACACTTGAATCTTCTGAATGATGGCTTTGGTAGTTCTCCATGTTTCCGCTCCATACAGTAGAACTGTCTTGACATTTGTATTGAAAATCGTGATTTTGGTTTTGGTTGAAAGTTGTTTGGAGTTCCAGATATTTTTCAACTGTAGAAATGCAGTCCTTGCTCTACCGATCCGCGCCCTTCTTCTCTTGCATTTGTTGTTGGCGTGTGCGATAGAAGAGCCAGGTCATCTGCAAAATCCAGATCGTCTAGCTGCGTCCTAACTGTCCATTGGATATCGTGCTTCCCTTCAGATGTCGACGTCTTCATAATCCAGTCGATTACCAGGAGAAATAGAAAGGGTGAGAGTAAGCAACCTTGTCTCACACCGGTCTTCACCTCAAACGAGTCTGTCAGCCGTCCTTCGTGTAGGATTTTGCAGTTGAATCCATCATAAGAATTCCGTATGATGTTAACTATTTTCTCAGGCACACCGTAGTGTCGAAGAAGCCTCCACAATGTTTTCCTATCCACGCTATCGAGTGCTTTCTCGTAGTTGATGAAGTTGATGTAGAGTGGTGAGTTCCATTCAATTGATTGTTCCACAATGATTCGTAATGTAGCAATTTGATCAGTACACGATCGATCCTTACGAAATCCGGCCTGTTGATCTCGAAGTTGGGCGTCTACGAAGTCCTTCATTCTGTTTAACAATACCCTGTTGAAGACTTTTCGTGGTATTGAAAGAAGAGTGATGCCTGTGTAGTTCTCACACTTGCTGAGATCGCCTTTCTTTGGTATTTTGATCAGGTATCCTTCTTTCCAATCGTGCTACTAACTAATTATTTAAGTAGTTTAAATGTGTTTCTACAATTTTTTTAATTTTATTTTCATGATATGTATTTTATAATGAATGAGTATAGTATTATTATTCATGAGGTCCAATGAATTGTGTATCTTATCGTTGATAATCTAGTTTTCTCTTGTGATGGAGTTTTTTCTCTCTCAAATGGATGTTTTGGTTGTGGAGATTTGATTGCTGTTCTTCTGTTGAACAACAAACATCACGATCAGTAGGAACTTCAGGTAGAAGAAGTGAAGTAGTATTCGAGTTTATTCTGTTAACTTTGATCATGATTGGTGGAGAAACAGTCAGTCAGTCAGTCAGATGCAACGTAGAACTTTGTACATAAGTACATCAGTTTATGTTGCCATACCACATTAGCACGGAGAAGTAATCGTCAATTCAAATCCAATAGTAGTAGAGGTAGTAAGGGAATTAGAAGTAATCGGAGAGGTTAGAATTAGAAGATACTATTCAAGAAGTATGATTCAGTGAGAAAAGTTTGGAGAGTCGAAACTAGAGTTGTTGAAGAATCCAGAAGATTAAGATTTGAGAGAACGCAAAGAATAAATGCACCGGCGCCATTGCGAACGATTTTGAGCCATGTCATTCAAGGTCTCTAACCATCGATTATTATCATCTCGCGGACCCCAACCAGGTAGTCGACAATTACCGACATGGCTCAGTCCACTAGTCAATGACTTCATGCATTTCTGTCATGTTTTGGTTTGGCCGCCCCTAACTTTCTTCCAACCTATTCCTACACTACAAAACAGAGTTCGTCGAGGCAGTCGGTGGTTCGGCATACGCAACACGTGTCCCAACCACCTCAACTGATGAAGTTTCACCACTTCATCGATTGATCTGCCATCCTTACCTAGTACTCGTTTCCTAACGACAACATTGCTCACTCGGTTGTCCCACGGTATACGAGCAATGTTTCGAAGACACCTATGATCGAAAACCAGTAACACGAATATCTTCTACTCTCACTGGCCATGTTTCACAGCCATAAGGTAAGACAGAGCGAACTACTGCGCAGTACACTCGTCCTTTAGTCAGCAAACGGATATCTAGCGTACGCCATAAGTGACGCAGGTTGGCAAAAGCCAATCGAGCCTTCTGTATCCGAGCTGAGATTTCGTCAGTCACCAGGCCATCAGCACTGATGAGACTCCCAAGATAAGTGAAGCGGTCTACACGTTCGACTACTTCACTTCTTATCACTAGTTCAGGTGCCGATGCAACCCAGTCTTGGAGCAACATTTTGCATTTCGAGGGGGAGAAACGTGGAGAAACTTGAATACTTGACTTCTACTTGAAATTTATGCTAATGGTGATATTGTTCATAAGAACAGCAATGAAATCGCCACAACCAAAACATTCAACTAAGAGAACGAGATTACACTACAATCATCAAACTGAACTATAAATTTTCTCCACCCTCCTAGTTTTACCTTGTTTCAGTTGAATGTTGCACTTTTGAAAGTCTTTATTTGCTGAATTCTTGTTTGGTTTAATTCACGATTTGATTACCAATTTTTTCTACTGGTTAACTGATTTTTATTGAGATGAAGGTGAAAAGAGATTACATAACTGGATTATAATACCTGTTAGATATGTAGATATATTTCGAAACTTCACAGAATCCTCGTAGTTAATACCATCAAAACCGAAGTACACAATGACGAGAGGATAGAAGACAAACACCATTAAATAATCACCAAAACTATGAGAAACAAAACAATGTTGGTCGAAGGTGGATTGTCTTTCTGTCTGAATAACAGTGCTAGATACACCTGTTAAGTGATGCAACATATTTTCACTTGCAATGATCCATGTGAATACAATTGAGTCAGTCAGTCAGCTACAATGTAGAACATTGTACGCACGTACATCAGTTCAGGTGTTCTCTCAAATTCTAACTTCCTGAATTCCTCATCATCTCTATCTTTCTCTTTTTAAATTTATCTCATTGAATTATACTTCTAGAATCATATCTTGGAACCCTAATCTTCTCGCGGACCCCAACAACTTAGTCTACATCTACCAACATGACTCGCTTCACTTGTCAGTCACTTCATGGATTTGTTCCATGTTTCGATCTGGTCGCCCCTAGCTTTCTTCCAGCCTGAGCCTATAACCTAACACATTGCTCGTCGAACCATTCAGTGGTTAGGCGTACGTACCACATATCGCAACCACCTTAACTAATGAAGTTCCAAAACTTCATCTGTTGATCTTCCATCCTTACCTAGTTCGTTTCCTAATAACAGCAATGTTAACTCGGTGGTCTCAGGAAATACAGACAATGCTTCGACGACACCTATGATCAAATACTAGTAACCTACAAATATTTTCTACTCTTATTGGCCATATTTCACAGCCATAAAGTTGGATGGAGTGAACTGATGTGCAGTACACTCGTCCTTTGGTTATTAAACGGATAACTCGCCCACACCAAAGGTGACATAAGTTGACAAAAGCCAATCGAGTCTTCTGTATTTGTGCTGAGATTTCACCAGTCACAAGACCAATTAACACTGATGGGACTCCCAAGATCAAGGAAGCCGTTGATTGCATGAAAAATGATCAAATGATATGTGTGTACACGATTGACTGTAAAAATGATTTTTATTTCTAAGGAATAATAAATACAAGGATAGATTTATATTCATTTTTAAATGAACCAACTAGGATGAACATGCACACTCATTTCAGTTAAGCTAATAAAATTTTCCTTCTCTTTGTCAATATTTACACTCGAATGGCCAGTTGAGCTTGTGTTTAGGAAGATTACATATCATGAATAACTCTTCACTCTCACACGACCGAAGCTGCTACCATGACTTGGTGGTCAGGCTTGCCTATCGTGATGACCCAACCGAGCTATGCTGGCTGGAACTTATGTTCCTGAAGGTTCTACCATGCCAAGCAGGTCGTTTGGAGAACGATGAGACTAAAAGCAGCTACTGAAGGTCTGAGGGCGAAGTCGTACTGCTCACTGCAGAGTAGTGTGACAGCAGTAAGATGTTTCCCTCGGACAACAACCGGCATCTGCAGCAATGCTGCCTTCTCACAAGGAAGGAAGGTTTAGAAAAGGTCGAACCTAAAAAATGTCACAACTCACCCTACCTCACGGATTTCCGTCTACGGCGGTAAGGGTGACCACCACTAAGGGCCTTTAAGAGCGGATCTAATCCTCAGAAAGGCCTTTCATAAAAAGGCCGTGCGTGACCGGCCTGAAGCAGTTGTCCCTTGGGTTCTGCGGTCACGCTCCCAGGTCTCTATGACCAACACTAATCTATCTTCCTTTTCCGGTTCCTCAAGAAACAACCTTCCACGGTGTGGGCAGCCGGCAAGTGACAACCCACCCTCATACCCGTAACAGCACACTGACTTCACTCTCAACTTTGAATACAGATCACATATTGATCAATAAATATTTATTGAACTAAACTCAATCTAAACAGATTGATTTTCATATGTAAAATGATTAATAACTAAAGAAAAATATCAGCAATCAAATTAAGGAAGAAATTAGCCGCAATAAAAATAATGCCACATTGAATGATAGATAGTTCAAAAAGTTGCCTCAAAAAAAATGGTTGGACACAATATGTACTACTTATTGAACATTGAAAATGTTAAATTTTTTTTAAAAATGTTGTTACGAATGTACGTCAACATGTCATTTGATATGCTTGAACTAGTACTGTGGTGTGTGCTACTTATACACGAACGATATAAGTAGTATAAGAAGGAACGTGAAAGAAGAAGTCTCACGGTCAGAAGAGGAAAACGGAAAGTAAATGGAGCAAAAGCAACAAGTAAATGGAGTACAAACAGAGGAAGGAGAGGAAGCAACAACAGGAATGGAAGAAGGCTGGAGCGTTGGAAGTCACCACTCAAAGATGGTGTGCAAATAGAGTGTTCAATGTAATGTTTTCGTTTTTTAACTGACTTAGAGTGTAAATTTGCATAATACAATGTTCTGCGCCTGCCACAGGATCGATGATCAGGCGACACGACAGGCTACTACTCTAGTCCGAGCGTCTCAACCCCCCATTGAGGTAAAGAAGAAGACTTTATATGAAGTAGAACGTGTATTCTACAAGCATCCAGAGAGTATGCAGTCAAAGTCCAGAAGAGGATAAGGATCCCTGACTGGGGATCCGGGTCCGTTCTCCTATATGGCTGTGAAACATGGCCGTTAAGAGTAGAAGATGTTCGTAGGTTACTAGTATTCGACCATAGATATTTAAGAAGTATTGCTCGTGTATCGTGGGACAACCGAGTAAGCGATGCTGTCGTTAGGAAACGAGTACTAGGTAAGGATGGCAGATCAGTAAATGAAGTGGTGAAACTTCATCAGTTGAGGTGGTTGGGACATGTGTTACGTATGCCTAGCCACCAACTGTCTCGAAGAGCTTTATTTCGTAGTGTAGGAATAGGTTGGAAGAAAGTTAGGGGTGGCCAGACCAAAACATGGCAGAAATCCATGAAATCATTGACGTGTGGACTTAGCCATGTTGGTAATTGTCGACTACCTGGTTGGGGTCCGGGAGACGATAGTCACCAATCGTTAGAGACCTTGAACGACATGGTTCAAAATCGTTTGCAATGGCGCAAGTGCATCCATTCTTTGAGCTCTCTCAAATCCTAATCTTCTGGAATCGTCAGCACCTCTACCCTTGTCTTTCTAGCCATATCTCACTGAATTATACTTCTTGAATAATATCTTCAAACCCTAGTCTTCTTCATTATCATTAATACCTCTACTATCTCTATCACTATGGGATTTGATTTGACGTTTGAGTCTCTGTGCTAATATGCTAATGAACTTATGTACATACGTACGAAGTTCTTACGTTGCAACTGACTGATTGACTGTCGAATAGGAAACAACATTTGAAGTCTGTGACCATTGATAGTTAAGATGACCAATAGGAATTAACCAATAGGAATTGACCAATAAAAATTACACTTACACATAACTTTCTCAGGCTATTGGATGAGAATATCCTAACAAATGCTTTCTCTTTTACACCTCCGTCTGTTTCTGCTTGTCGATGATAGATGCAACATCAGCAACAACACCAGCAACAGCAACAGCAACACTTCATCGACACAAACAATATTCGTCAAAATGAACATTTACACCAAAATCATCATCATCAACAAACTCATCATGGTCGTCGTAGTAGTATGGCATTACCTCCGACACCACCATCATCAACAACAACATCGATATTCGGCGTAAAAGCACCAATACGTTCAATTGGTGAAATGGATGATTGGAATTTACCTAGTTGTTCTGATGAATCAGAGTAAAAAATAAAAAGGCGACATATTAGAAATGTCATGTATAACTCGTTCGCTTATTTTATTGCTCAACTTTCTATTGTGATCGTTTTCCGTTTTTTTGTTTAAAGCGCAGTGAATGTGAAACAGGCAAATGTAAGTTTGTTTTATTTGTTGGATATTTTAAAATGAGTATTAATGATTTCATTAGTAGATATTGCATGCTTACTCTGGTTATTACCATTGGATAGGAAGGAGTTGATTTTGACCGATTTGGTCTTGTGTGCTGTTACGGGTATGAGGGGGGGGTGTCACTTCCCGGCTGCCCACATCGTGGATGGGTGTTTCTTGAGGGACCTGAAAAGGAAGACAAATTAGTGTTGGTCTTAGAGACCTGGGTGCGTGACCGCAGAGTCTAAGGGACAACTGCTTGAGGCCGGTCACGCACGGCCTTTTTGTGAGAAGTTTTTAGAGTATTAGCTCCGCTCTTAAAAGCCCTTAATGGGCACCCTTACCGACGGAGATGGAAATCCGTGAGGTAGGGTGAGGTGTGGAATTTTTAGGGTCGACCTTTTCTAACCCTTCCTTCCTTGTGAGAAGGCAGTATCGCTGCAGATGCTGGTTGTCCGAGGGAAACACCTTACTGCTGTCACACCTCTCTACAGTCGGCAGTACGACTTGGACCTCAGACATTGAGTAGCTGCTTTTATTCTCATCTTTGTCCCATCGGCCTGCTTGGCATGGTAGAACCTTCAGGAACATATGTTCAAGCCAATGTAGCTCGGTTGGGTCATTACGATAGTCAAGCCTGACCACCACGTCAAGGTAGCCGCTACAGTCGAGTACCATCATTGGAGCTATAGTCCGTTGACCAGCATTCTTCAGCCCACTTCTGATTAGTGAATATGAGCTTCGCGTGCAAGACTGGAGGATGTGGATGTGCACTGCTGATGAGTAGTCCTATACCATGAAGAAATGGCCGTCTACTGCTTCCAGCTTCCTAATGGTGGTCTAACATTGACCGATCTATGATTTCAAAAAGTAACTTAATAATCTCGTCGAATTTGAAGTGCAGCTTACCACTTTATTGGCCCATGATCTAGCTCTAATTTGTATGAACATTCAGATCTCTAATGAAATTATTCTCTCTGTAATTTCCGTGGGTCAAACTGAGGTGAATCCCGTTTGTGCGAAGGCGGTAATAAGAAGGCAAATATGGATTTAGTTGGATGAGATTTCATTTCATGCAATTGTTCATACAAACAGACATGAAAATACGAAGCGGCAAAGTGAAGTGAAGTAGAGAAGGCGAACGAGCGAACACAGTACAATGAGACATGACTAAGTAGTTTATAGTCAGACAAAAATATAACTAAGACATGCGATAAGCGAAGTAGACATACACACACATACACTTAAATAAAAAAAATAATCAAGGTTATAAGTGAATAATTACACAAGGTCAAAAGACATGTGACTAATAATTACATAAGAATGTATTTTAATTGAATTGTTCCAAGGCTAAGACAAACGTTGTGGGCTCGATATATTGTACGCACACTGTAAGTAGTTCAACAACTATTTGTGTTCAAAATCAAGGTTGCCTTCTAACATTGAAAAGAAACGACTTGTCAGTAATGTTGAACATTTTTGAAACCATGAATCGATCAATGTTAGACCACCACCATTAGAAACCTGGCAGCACTGAAAGACGGCCGTTTCGTCCTGGTATAAGACTATTCATCAGCAATGCGCATCCACGACTCCCGCACCTCGCAGGATTCGAACCCAGGACCTTCGGTATTGTGCGCGAACGCCGTGAATTGATCAAGTTAGACATTAATACCGTTAGGTACCGGCAACAGTGGTTCGATGGTTAGGCGTTCGCGCACGAAACCGAAGATCATGGGTTTGAATCTTGCGGGGTGCAGGAGTCGTGGATGCGCACTGCCAATGATTAGTTTTCCCATACCAGGACGAAATGGCCGTCTTTCAGTGCTTCCAGGTTTCTAATGATGATGGTCTAACATTGATCGATTTATGGTTTCAATAATGTGTAACTTAACAATCTTCACAACAACCCCGTAATGCAAGTAATGTTTAAGCTGGGGGTAACATTCATTCAGTCACAATGACAATAAACCAGGTTGTATCTATCATTCACTATGTTAAAATTCCGGTTTCTGTAGTTTCTATAATAAAATTTTTCAAAGAACATTATCCTATCAATTTCCGCACTTACACTTAACAGAACTAAACAGAAAAACTTATTTTCAAAATGACGCACAAAAGCCTTGATTTCAATTTGTATTCAATTCTCATTTGGGGATATGTGCATAAAATGTTCTTTATAAGGATAAAATATTAATCTGTTCAGTATTTCTGAGTTGTCAGTTATAGTCTAATATCTGTGAACATTCAACAATCTTCTTCCATAGTAATTCATTCTAAAGCTTATCTTCTCCATTACTGCTAATAATCCTACTATCGCTATCACTCTTGGATTTGAACTGACAATTACGTCTCTATGCTGACGTGGTATGGCAACCTGAACTCTGATGTACTTATGTACAAAGTTCTGTGTTGTATCTGTCTGTCTATCTCTCCTTTAGTAGAATCCAGCTATTTCTATTGCTTAGTTTTAGTAATCTCAGACACCAGTCGACTCAACAAGTCCCCAAGAAAGAACAACGGTTGGACAGGAAATATTGATTATATTTTCCAAATAGCAAGATTAAATGTAAGTAAGAAGTAGAATAGAAACGACGTTCAGTTAGTCAGTCAGTTGCAACGTAGAACTTGGTACGTATGTACATAAGTTCAGGTTGCCATACCACATTAACACAGAGACGCAAATGTCAAATCAAATCCCATAGTGATAAAGATAGTAGAGGTATTAATGGTAATGAAGAAGACTAGGGTTTGAAGAGAATATTCAAGAAGTATAATTCAGTGAGATAAGGTTAGAAAGACAAAGGTAGAGGTGCTGACAAATCCAAAAGATTAGGATTTGAGAGAGCTGAAAGAACGGATGCACTTGCGCCATTGCAAATGATTTTGAGGCATGTCGTTCAAAGTCTATAACCATTGGTGACTTTCGTCTCGCGGACCCCAACCAAGTAGTCTACATCTACCAACATGACTCAGTCCACTTATCAGTGACTTAATGGACTTCTGTCAGGTTTTGGTTTGGCCGCCCCTAACTTTCTTCCAACCTATGCCTACACCACAAAACACAGCTCGTTGAGGCAGTCGGTGGTTAGCCATACGTCGTAACACATGTCCCAACCACCTCAACTGATGAAGTTTCATCACTTCATCTATTGATCTGTCATCCTTACCTAGTACTCGTTTCCTAACGACAGCATTGCTTACTCGGTTGTCGTACGATATACGAGCAATGCTTCTAAGACATCTATGATCGAAAACCAGTAACCTACGAACATGTTCTACTCTTAACGGCTATGTTTTGCAGAAACGACTTTAGTATATTTATAGTTTTATGACATGAGAAGATTCTAGAATGTTCCCTCAGTGTATCGACTAGCGCTGATTGGGTAAGAAATTAGCCAATCACCTTGCAGCTTACGCAATCCTTAACTTAATCCAATCAATGTCCTGCTAACAAAACAGGTGTTTTTTACTCTGTTTCTTTTCAGAATTTGATTTATTCAAATCCGAACTAGATGAATACACTGCTCATCAGGATTATTATTTCGCTGATAATCATTTCTCTCTCTTTATCAAAGAAAAAAAATTGGAGATTACAAAACTGATAAAAAAAATGAGATACTTTCTTGCACATCTACCACCTACTATTGACAATGAGAAGAGTTTAACAACAATACACTACACTTGTTCAGATACTACTGTTCAATCATACATACAAACACAAATTATTTACGATTCTTTATTTTATTGTTAAACAGATTCATTTAAAAATCTTTTATCGAAAAAACCACAAATCAACACAAAATGTCTTCCAATCAACTGATAGATACAACAATGCTTTTCTCATATATACAACTAACTAACTAATTGATAGAAAAAAGTTCTTAGCGTTACATTTGTATTTTCTAACTATTCATACAATATATATGGACAAATTATCAGTTTGTTTGTTTGAATGAACTTCTAATTTAAATTTGACCTTGATTCATTCAATCGTCAATAATTTCATTCCGCATGGTTTTAAAATATATTATAGTATAGATGTGATTTTATCTATTTATTTATATTCGTTATTTATTATGAAAGCTCAAATCAACATGACAATAGGAATTCAACTACACATTGTTTTTATTTCCGTCTGTGTGTGTGTGTTTGAGTGTATGTGTGAGTTATATGACGACTTGTTCATTTGTATTGATTGATACACATTGAAAATTGAATTCTACTGTTTGTTGTTGAAAACACACACATGCTCACAAACACACACCCACACACAGAGGTACTCCATTCAAGCTTTCCTTTCATTTTGATGATCTCTCTTTTATATTTTATGTACATTTTTTTTTCGTAATGCATACAGTCTATCATCTATCGGTTTTGTTTTCTCTCCATGCTTTTAAACTACTGCCTACAATTCGATAGTTTTCATTTTGCCAAAGTATTTTACTTTGATTTTTAACATATATATATATATATATATATATATATATATATATATATATATATATATATATATATATCGTCTCTCTTCTTATATATAAATATATATTTCCTGCATATGTACACAGAAAATAGCCTTGATATTATAATTATTGTCGTTTGCAATATTGAGGAGTTCATTTTATTGTAACTTTTGTTTTTAAAATGACACTCAATTAAATTATGCTTGCTCATCATTCCTACACATACACACTATATATAAAAATATATATTTGCAGTTGTTTCTCAATGAAATTTGAACGTTTTATTCTATTTTTATCTTTATGAGATCAAGTTTTATGGTTTAATGTTTGGCTGGTGGATAGTTTGTAGGCAACTAGGTCATATGCTAGATGGTACTTGTCAGTGAGGTGTAGCTGGAAATTTGACTGAACTAATTGTTTAATTTTTTGGTAGACATGATTTCCAAGATAACACTTTCAGGGGTGGACCTTGTTGGGGATGTTAGATCCCCAAAATTCGCTTGATAATGCCGTATTTTGGTTTTCACGTTCCGCCAGCATGGGCTGATCAGATGACCTTGAGATTTCAATTCCCACCAGCAAAATCAATGGCTGTGATTGGCTGCAGTGTATTTTAGTATGCTATTTTCTTAACTGTCTCAAGGACGTTGTTATGTTGTATAAATAAACGAGAGTTGTATGCTTGGTTGTTGTGTGATTGCTGGGTGTTTGTAGAATATACTTTCTACGCTTACCAAGACTTCTGTTTTACCGTTTGGATTCAAGGTAGCCTCCCTGGAAGCTGGTAAAAGTCTCGTTCGCGTTTATCGACTAAGGTAAACTCGTAATAGCCTCAAGCATACTAAGTGACGAACTTATCAGACCTTCTACCAGGAGACTCGCTTGTTGACTTAGAATATACCGATGATATAGTTCTATTTCGTGAACATACTGACAAAATACATAGTATTCTAACCACCATAAGCAACAATGCAAGCATGTTCGTGATGAGATTCCCCGAATCAAAACGCAGTGTTGCTTCAGGATTGGCTTGCATCGGGTCCTGAACTAGTGATAGGGAGTGGAAACTTCATCAGTTGAGGTGGTTGGGATATGTGTTACATATGCCCAATATCCGACTGCCTCAACGAGCTATGTTTTGCGCTGTACGAGTGGGTTGGAAAAAAGCTAGGGGCGACCAAAGCAAAACATCGAACCAAATCCACGAAGTCACTGACAACTGGACTGAGTCATGTTAGTAAATGCAGGCTACCTGGTTGGGGTTCGCGAGACAATACTAACCGATGGTTAGAGACCTTGAACGACTTGACTCAAACGCGTTCGCAATGGCGCAGGTGTATCCACTCCTTGTTTTCTTCCAAATACCAATCTTCTGAATTCCTCATCACCATGTGCACTATTTAGGTGATTAGTAAGAAACCTTATCTGACCCATAACATCAACATTGGTCACTAAGTTGTTCTACGATACGCAAACAATACTTCGAAGACACCTATATTCAAGAAATTTTGGCCAACACAATTTCCTTACTTTTCTTCATCATATTTTAATACCATAGATTAGTACGAAACGAACAAATGAGCAGTAAACTCAACATGTAAAAAGCTGATGATATAGACATCACATTTCAGATCACATGTGATGCCATTCAACAAGAGCTACGTAGTTTTTTTAAGCCCATGTCGACATTTGCTCCATTGACTGCATTTCTTTATCGATAAAATTGACCCCAAGTTCTTTGATTTTTTTTCACTGCTTAACTTATCCACATGAACATGACTGAACAAAGGTACACAATTTGTAAATGATATACTTGAAACTATTACAAGTTCACCTTACTCGGTAAACGGAACAACGATCGCCCATACAGAGTGACACATGATAGGCTGTTCTAATCCATTTGTCCCAACCCCGGTTAACTAGATCAAGAATTCTTGATACGGCATAGAGAGAGTGTATTATTCTACAAGCACCCAGAAAATATGAGGTTGACAAGCACATAAATCCAGCTTATTTATACATGAGAGAAACGTCCTTGGGAGGGTCACACAAACAGCCTACAAAAATAATCCATCAACCAATGACAGCCAAAGATTTTCCGGGTATGAAATGTAAGCTCAAGGTCAACTAAGCGACTTATGAGCGAAAACATGAAACACCCTAAATTAGGACCCTTTCCAAGTGAGTTTTGGGGATCTAACGTCCCAAACAGTAGGAAATAAGCTATCTACTAGCAACACCCTAATGTCTTACCAGACTTTCAGTTAAGTAAACAGTCAATCTGTTAGGATATTCACCAAATATTCTAAGAGTACTATTTTTAGAAGTGTAATCCCATTGGCCGTTTTCTATTGGTCAAAATTATGGTCGTTTTAACTGTCAAAGTCAAATACTTCAATGACTGTCAATGTCATTCCAAGTGTTCTTTCCTATTGGCTGTCCTAAACTGCCAATGTCACAGACTTTGATGCTGTTTCCCATTCGACCTTAATGTATAAATACGCACTATCTGTAAGCCTTCATGATTCGGATTCCAATTCCGTTTCTCCTGCCTACTCTCTTTGCTGTATTCGACCCAATAAACAACTCCATCCCACGGTGTTGCGTTCTGTGATATCTAGGAGATTTGGAAATAGCATTTTGGGTCGTATTGGGATATTTGAATTGGACGCCGCTAGGACTGAATAGCTGCTATACGTAGCAGCGTTACAACACAATCATAATCTCAACATATAAGAAGTAGTTATTACACGTACACAATCGCCAACATCGACACTATACCACCAGCAGAACATCGACCAAGTAATATAAGTAACGAAAAAAACGAATCTGTTTGTCAAAATAATAATTATTAAAATCTATATTTACAAAAGTACACTGAAATATTAATAATAATAATAACAATATAAACTATCGTTGTACTCTTCTCGTCTCTGATACTTTATTTTTCCTACTACTACTACTACTATTACTACTGCTACTACTACTACCACTGATCATGGTTGAGATTAAGGAAAAAACCAATGTGCTTTTTGATTAAAAACAGAAATACAAGGTAATGGATGAATGAAAGAGTAAGAGAAGGGGGGAGAAGGAGAGATTTTTTTTCAAAAAAAAAATGCAATTACATTGAGTTAGTTTTAAAAACACTATGGTGATTTGTACTCTTTTGAGTTAGGCGATGATTGTTCAACTAACTGTACAGAGCGCTAATCATTCTGAACATCGTCAGCGTCTTCTATTATTTGAGCAACTGGACCATTTAAAATTCAGAGAACACACATGTATATATATCACACTACTATCAGTTCGAATTACACACACATATGGAAACAGGCAAAAACTAGACGAAGTCATAATTCAAAAAAGAGTGGTGGAAAAAGGGAGAAAGAGAGAACGAACAATTTCGTAATGACAAAATGCGTATATCCAAAAGGAGATTTAACAAGAACAGAAGAGGAAGAATATTGACAGACGGAGAGAGAGAGACAATGGGAGAAAAAGGGATAAAACAATGCACTACAACACACACTCACACGCGCACACACACACGATTCAAACAAAGAATTATGAAATGATAAAAATAACAATCACGACCATCGGGGTGGGGGCGGGGCGGGGTAACATTTTAACTTTTAATTGATCAAGATCCATGGAATTTGCGTAAAATTCGTAAATTATTTGAATAATAAGCATAGGTAAGAAATAGGCCAACTACTCCAGTACCCCATAGAATACAATCACGTATTGGATGAGGTGCACCAGTTGACTTGTCAATAATGGATGACTTTTCTGTAATAGCAAAAACAAGAAAATAATACGTAAGACATTTTACTCAAAATGAACATATATATACATTTTTGTTAGATTAGGTGCTAGTGTGGTACGTGCTACTTATAAGTAGTATATGACGTGAGTGTAAACGTAATGTCTGGCAGCAGAAGATGGGGGAAGATCAAGTGAAAGGAAGAAGAGTGGGGGGAACACAATGGAATTTGTATGAAATGCATGAATAGTGGTGAAATGTCAAACAATGGATTGATGATGGATTGAAGATTTGCAAATTAACAACGGTTTACGATATGGTTTTACTATTTTACTGAGTAACTCTGTAATTTTCGGGTAAATACAATTCGGTTGCCTTCACCTGTGTTCTCCTTCACTACACCAGCAGTTGAGAGATGGGTTAGCCGTCAATGGTGCTTGGTTTTCAGTCAGTCAGTCACTCAGTTTCAACTACGCAATTCTATTCTGAAAGATGATACAACTGAATGTCATTAAAACATTATTAAACATCATGACTCAGGAAAAAAGCAGGTGATCATTCTGGTACACATTTTTTTTTCCACATTCTCCGCAATTATGAGAGGAGCTCTCTTGACTGAAAAAGGATTTTCAATGGGTAAATTCTTATTCGAACTGTGACCCTTGCTGTTACATAATTGACTGTTGTCACTATGAGTTTGCACCGCATATTTACCGTTCGTCCATCTTAATTTCGTGAACAACACCGCGGTCACGAGAAGAGAGTATGTAGGACTTCGCTGTCAGTGGCTACATTCGCCAGGCAATATGCACATTTCGAGGGACAGTAAACTCTCTCTCCACTCCTGACCATACCCAGAGTATTTGGGGAGGGGCTATATGAGGTATCTTATGTTAGGTGCTTCAGTTCTCTACTGGAATTTAATTATGAAATGGATATAAATGAAGCGTTTTGTTATCAATCAGTTTACGTGTACTGAAAATAACAAACATGAATTGAATTGACATCAGCTTTACATATCCACTGGTGACAGTAGATCGACTGAAGCTGAGAATAAGCGGAATATTTGAAAGTGACTCTATTTCTTTTTCATCTAACTGAATGTTCTGACCGTTAGAAACACCTTTTTTGGTAATAATACAATGTTTTATTCTGTTGATCTTGAAGGCATTAGGTAGCGATCAAACTTAAATGGCTTATTAATAGTTGATTTGATAGTAAACTATTGTAAGTTACAACCTGCTTTCACCTACTATAGTTTATTTATAATAGTGAGGACGTTCCTCCGAGTTCTACCGCGAAGTCACGACCAGTACTCGCCAAAAACAGTGGACGAGGTTGCACAAGACCGAAGGGTTGATCGAAATTAGATATTAATATCGTTGGATGCCAACTAAGTGGTCTAGAGATCAAAAGTTCGCGCGCAAGACCGAAGGTCCTAGGTTCAAATCCAGCGAGTAGCAGGACTCATGAATGCGCACTGCTGATAAGTCCCATACCAGGACGAAACGGCCGTTAGCCAGTCAGTCAGTTGCAACATAGAACTTCGTACACATGTACATAAGTTCATGTTGCCATACCACATTAGCACACAGACGCAAATGTCAAATCAAATCCCATAGTGATAAAGATAGTAGAGGTATTAATGGTAATGAAGAAGACTAGGGTTTGAAGAGAATATTCAAGAAGTATAATTCAGTGAGATAAGGTTAGAAAGACAAATGTAGGGGTGCTGACGATTCCGGAAGATTAGGATTTGAGAGAGCTCAACAAATGGATGCACCTGCGGCATTGCAAACGATTTTGAGCCATGTCGTTCAAGGTCTCTAACCATTGGTGACTTTCGTCTCGCGGACCTCAACCAGGTAGTCTACATCTACCAACATGACTCAGTCCACTGGTCAGTGATTTCATGGATTTGTGCCATGGTTTGGTCTGGCCGCCCCTAACTTTCTTCCAACCTACTCCTACACCACTAAACATAGCTCGTTGAGGCAGTCGGTGGTTCGGCATACGCAAGACATGTCCCAACCACCTCAACTGATGAAGTTTCACCACTTCATCTATTGATCTACCATCCTTACCTAGCACCCGTTTCCTAACGACAACATTACTTACTCGGTTGTCCTACGATATACGAGCAATGCTTCGGTGAGACACCTATAATCGAAAACCAGTCACCTATAATGATAATAATAATCGAAGGCAATTGACATTACACCACTAAGAAGCAATCAAAAAATAGAACAAAACGAATAAACAAAAAAAGAGTAATTACCTTTTCTAAAATATTTCATATGTTTTGGAAAATATTTTATTAAAATATTTTTGAAAAATTTAATTAAATTAGGACATTGAAATAAATGTGTAATTAATTGATGTGAACCAGATTGTACATAATTGGGTGTAAATGGTGTTGATGATTTATAATCAATATCCCACCAATTGGTATCATTACCATACTCCGATTCATACATTAATAATGGCCATAGAAATGCAAATACATAAGCATCCACAGCAGTTGGTCTATTGTCATGATGATGATGACATGAGGAATCAAGTACACCGGGTACATATAAAATAGTGTACGGAGAAAAAGAGAGAAGAGAACAAATAGTTTCACATGGATAAGATATTGAAGCTGGACAATAAGAACAAAATATTTAAAGTATATATTGAAAAGATTACAACTCAGCCGCTTAAGGGTTACTCAATCAATCAATCAACAACAGCAACGTAGAACTTCAGAGGGTTGACCTACCAGGAAAGTCGTTTACTGACATATTCGGTGAAGACGCTGACAAAATGCTGAGTCTTCTGACTACCACCATAAGCAACAATGCAAGCATGTTCGGGATGCGGTTCTCACCCTCGAAATGTAAAATGTTGCTTCGAGATTGGGTTGCATTGGCACCTGAAATAGTGATAGGGAATGAAGTAGTCGAGCGTGTTGATCGCTTCACTTATCTGGGGAGTCTCATCAGCGCTGATAGCCTGGTGACTGACGAAATCTCAGCGCAGATACAGAAAGCTCGATTACCTTTTGCCAACCTGCATCACTTACGGCGTATGCGTGATATCCGTTCGCTAACCAAAGGACGGGTGTACTGCGTAGCAGTTCGTTCCGTTCTCCTATATGGCTGCGAAGCATGGCCGTTAAGAGTAGAAGATGTTCGTAGGTTACTAGTATTCGATCATAGATGTTTAAGAAGCATTGCTCGTATATCGTGGGACAACCGAGTAAGCAATGATGTCGTTAGGAAACAAGTACTAGGTAAGGATGGCAGATCAATCGATGAAGTAATGTAACTTTATCATTTGAGGTGGTTGGGACATGTGTTGCATATGCCTAACCACCGACTGCCTCGAAGAGCTTTGTTTTGTGGTGTAGGAGTAGGTTGGAAGAAAGCTAGGGGCGGCCAAACCAAAACATGGCACAAATCCATGAAGTCATTGACAAGTGGACTGAGTCATGTTGGTAGATGTAGACTACCTGGTTGAGGTCCGCGAGACGAATGTCACCAATGGTTAGAGACCTTGAACGACATGGCTCAGAATCCTTTGCAATCGCGCAAGTGCATCCATTCTTTGAGCTCTCTCAAATCCTAATCTTCTGGAATCGTCAGCACCTCAACCTTTGTCTTTCTAACCTTATCTCACTGAATTATACTTCTTGAATATTATCTTCAAACCCTAATCTTCTTCATTACCATTAATACCTCTACTATCTTTATCACTATGGGATTTGATTTGACATTTGCGTCTCTGTGCTAATGTGGTATGGCCACCTGAACTTATGTACATACGTACGAAGTTCTACGTTGCAACTGACTGACTGAGAACTTCGTACATACGTAAATCAGTTCAAGTTGCCATACAACATTGGCACAGAGAGAGGTGTACTTGACAATTCAAATCCCATAGTAATAGAGGTAGTAAAAGTATTAGCCGTAGTTGGAGAGATTATAGCTCGACAGTATTAGTCAAGAAGTAGAATTTAGTGAAATAAACTTAAAAAAAGGATAAAGGTGATGAGTAATTCAGAAGGTTAAGATTTGAGAGAACACAAAAACTGGATGCACCTGCGCCAATGCAAACGGTTTTTTGCAGTGTCATTCAGAGTCTCTAACCATTGATTATTATCATCCCGCGAGCCCCAACCAGTTAGTGGACACCTACCAACATGACTCAGTCCACTTGTCAGCCACTTCATGGATTTGTGCCATGTTTTGGTCTGGCCGACCCTAACTTTCTTTCAACCTTCTCCTACACCAGAAAACATAGCTCGTCGAGGCAGTCGGTGGTTAGGTATTCGTAACACATATTCTAACCAATACTTCTTCTATTGATCTGCTATTCTTACCTAGGACTCGTTTCCTAACCACTGCATTGCTTACTCGATAGTTCCAAGATAAACGAGAATTGCTTCGAAGACATCGATAATCGAATACTAATAACCTACAAAATATCCTCAATTCTTAACGTCCATTTTGTGAAATATAGCTGACAAAAAACAGATTAATTATTTCATAGATGTTATTGATTTGAATGAAACTTATAAAACTAACTACAAAAATTTATGTTTTTTCTTGCCAAACTGCAGCAAATACGGCTCTCTTTTTTTTTATCTAGTGCATACATTAGTCATGTGCAACTTAAAATCCGATACATGTACTTTGGCATAAGTTACTACTACATATTAGCACACAGATAAAATCATGAAGATAAATTCCAAGAGTGGTAGACATAATGACAAGATCAATATCAGTAGAAAAGGTTAGTTGCAGAAAAATAGATAAAAGGAGATTTCGGGAATAAGATTTTAAGGGAGGGCAAATGGAGAGGGAATTCACCTATCCCATTGCGAACGATTCTGAGTAATGTTACTCGAAGCTTCTAACGATGGATTAACACTCCAAACATTGACTAGTGGACTGAGCCATGTCGGTAATTGTCGACTACCTGGTTGGGGTCCGCGAGATGATAATAATCGATGGTTAGAGACCGTGAATGACATGGCTCAAAATCGTTCGCGATTGCGCCGGTGCATTTATTCTTTGTGTTCTCTCAAATCCTAATCATCTGGATTCTTCAACACCTCTAGTTTCGACTCTCTAAACTTTTCTCACTGAATCATACTTCTTGAAAAATATCTTCTAATCCTAACCTCTCCGATTACTCCTAATACCTTTACTACCTCTACTACTAGTGGATTTGAATTGACAATTACATCTCTGTGCTGATGTGGTATGGCGACATGAACTGATGTACTTATGTACGAAGTTCTACGTTGCATCTGACTGACTCCTTCCAGAAGACAACACATCGTCTGAAAACGTAAGCAGGTTTATAAATGAAACGTAATTCATAAAACGACTTCTTCAAATGATCAAACTTACCGATCACCAACAAAATACGTATTTTCGCCCAACATGTAAGCAAGTGATGTAATGCAAAGTTTAGCCAGTGAATATAACTATAATGAAGTGAAAAGAGAAATGTTTTTTTTTTTGACTTAGTATTTTGTTGAAACTCAACTGTGATACGAATCTATATAACTAGCCTATTGTAATGAAAAAAGACGGATGTCCAAATGGGATAAGCTATTTGTTACGCCTGCACGTAAACACGTCAACTTGATATAATTGAACTATAACGAGTTTATCTAGTCGGAAAAACGAGAGTGAGGATCGAGGATCCGGCGACACAATGTGCTACTCAAATCCGATTATCCCAACCCCCATATTCAGTGAAAATAAGAAGACATGATATGAAGTAGAATCTGTATTCTACAAGCATCCAGAAAGTACGAGGTCCGAATCCAGAAGAGAATCAGGATCCCGGACTAGGGATCCGGGTCCTGGTCCTGGTCGTGGTCATAAAATGTTACAGATAATGCGTATTTATACATTTTGGTCGAATAGGAAACAGCACCGAATTCTGTGACCTTGACAGTTAAGACGACCAATAGGAAGTAACATTTGAAGTGACATTGATAGTCAAGACAACCAATAACAAACAAAATTTGAAATGACATTGACAGTCCGGATGACCAATAAGAGACAACATTGAAGCATTTAACTTTGATAGTTAAAACGACCATAATTTTTTGACCAATAGAAATCGACCAATAGGATTTGACCAACAATTCTCTTAGGATATTGGATGAATATCTTAACACTACTTAATTGAAGAAGACGACAATCTACTAGCCAAAAAGTGTACACCTTATCGTACGACATCCATTTGTAGAACAAGCGTATTCTGTTCTTCAGGACACTCATATTGCGTCATAAATTCGTATCCAATACTTCTCACCACGGCATTAACTTCAGAGCGACACTTGATTACATATCCAATGGATACTACTTACAAGCTCCGTAGCACTACATACCACACTACCAGTTGAAATCTTGATGCGTGAAATGTAAAGAAATTACGATTTTACTGTTTATTTAAAATAAAGAGGACTACATTCGAACCTAAAACACGGTAAGTCACAATAATTAAACCAACTAACAGTGAACCCACTGTAATAATACACGCTATCTGTTACGCTCGTCACTTGGTACGCTTGAAGCTATTACGAGTTCGCCTTAGTCGATAAACGCGAACGAATCCCAAGCTGTAAACAGAAGGCTTGGTAAGCGTAGAAAGTATATTCTACAAACACCCAGCAATCAAAATACAATCAAGCACACAACTCTCGTATATTTATACATCATAGTAACATTCTTGGGACAGTCACAAAAATAGCACAATAAAATACACAGCAGCCAATTACAGTCGTGGATTTTCCTGGTGGGAAATGAAATCTCAAGGTCAACTGATCAGCCCATGCTCACAAACGTGAAATCCAAAATTAGGCATTTATCAATTGAGTTCTGGGGATCTAACATCCCCAACACTAACATTTCACTAACACCTGCTACTCTTTGTGGAAAATAGGCAAGAAACCAGGATTCACCAACCAACTCTGTCCTGAGCTCTCCTTTCCAGCTGTTCCCAAGTACTATTGATTCTTAAGGTGCCTGCCTCTGGTTTCGGGAGTAATGAGTTCCTCTTTCCCTTTTTGACTTGAAAGTCCCAAGTTAGGACTTGCCGTGTCATGCAGCTTGATGATACCTGTAATGTGTTTTATCCACCTTCAGCATTTCTGACCTAATATCTTCTCTACTTAGTCCACTTTCTGCTGATGGTGTCTGGTCAACAGAACTGAAGTCTATCTACCTAGATAAATCTAGGCTTAGTTTTAACACAACTCGAATTTCACTTCCTTACACCATTTCATCAAGTACATATGACTTACAAATATGTCAACCATTGTTTCGCTAAACTTACTTGAACACACAATAAGAAATTGTTTACATCTGACATAAAGAGACAAGATAACATGATCAACCAATCAGTATCTGCCGTCTGTGCGGCTAATAGCAACATGTCATCAATCAGTGATATCATTATCAAATATAATCTTTGGCTGAAATCACTCGGAAGAGAGTAGATCACATTGTCGCTCAAAAAAAAATCCTATATACTACTAATAAATGATATTAACTGCGTTCTCTACAAATCACATTTATCAAAAACTTTGAAACATGAAGAAAAACTTACATGCTCACCAATTTCTGAATCAGACATTTTCTTAAGACACATAACTAACTGAGATGACTTAGCTTTCATCACTTTCATATTACGCCAAATATGAGGAATATACAACTGTTTCATAAATCCAATTGATTCAAAATACATTCTTCTAGTGAATTTAGTATAAACCAGATCATCAGCCCATAAGAACCAATCTATAGCTGGAGCTAAACGACGCTCGATAATTGAAATAAGGGCACATGATTGAACACCCTCCACATCAGACAGCTCATATTCTAAGCCATAATTCTGTTAATGAAAAAAAAAATTGTGAGAGGCGAGAAAAAAAAAACTTACATAAAAATGAATTCTTTTTTTTTTTTTTAAAAAAATTAGGATTTAAAAATTATGCCATATTATTCTGTTATTAGTTTTTGATCAATATGATAAGCAATTTGATACCTGTAGTCAGTCAGTCAGTCAGTGGCAACGTAGAACTTCGTACGTATGTACATAAGTTCAGGTTGCCATACCACGTTAGCACAGAGACGCAAATGTCAAATCAAATCCCATAGTGATAAAGATAGTAGAGGTATTAATGTTAATTAAGAAGACTAGGTTTTGAAGATATTATTCAAGAAGTATAATTCAGCGAGATAGGTTTAGAAAGTCAAAACTACAGGTGTTAACGAATCCAGAATATTAGGATTTGAGACAACACAAAGAATAGATGCACCGGCGCAATTGCGAACGATTTTGAGCCATGTCATTCAAGGTCTCTAACCATCGATTATTATCATCTCCCGGACCCTAACCAGGTGGCAGTCGACAATTACCAACATGGCTAAGTCCACTCGTCAATGACTTCATGGATTTCCGCCATGTTTTGGTTTGGCCGCCCCTAACTTTCTTCCAACCTATTCCTACACTACAAAACAAAGCTCGTCGAGGCAGTCGGTGGTTAGCCATACGTAACACATGTCCCAACCACCTCAACTGATGAGGTTACAATACTTCATCTATTGATCTGCCATTCTTAACTAGCACGTGTCCTAATAACAGCGTTGCTTGCTCGGGTGTCCCAGGATGTACGAGCAATGCTTTGAAGACACCTATGATCGAATATTAGTAACCTACGAATATCTTCTACTCTCACTGGCCATGTTTCACAGCTATATAGGAGAACGGAGCGAACTGCTGCACAGTACACTCGTCCTTTAGTCAGCAAACGGATATCTCGCCTACGCCATAAGTGACGCAGGTTGGCAAAAGCCAATCGAGCCTTCTGTATCCGAGCTGAGATTTCGTCAGTCACCAGGCCATCAGCATTGATGAGACTTCCAAGATAAGTCTCATATTACCTAAGACAATAATATATGGCGAAATATACGAACAAAAGTCGATAGCCTCAATCGAACACTACTAGTTCTCAATCTATCGTGATGAATAGCTGGGAGTTGAATGATATGGTTCAGAACGAATCATAACACTGCAAATTCGCCAACTCTGTTACTTAATATCCTAAGCCCTAAAATTAGCTGTTTTATTTTACAGAATAATTTCTCAAATAATATTATCAAAATTTTATATTTCTTTCCACTGTTGATGCTTTTATCATTCTTGAACTTGTCTTGAAAATTTTATCTTGCTCGACTAAGACAGACAGACAGACAGCAGTATCCACCGAACTGATAGACGCTCGTAAACTCATCCCATCTGGCTCTGAACATGATGAAGAGCGAGGTCAGCTTAAGCACAGGCTGATAAAAAGCCTACGCAACGACCACCGACAGTGGTGGTTGGCGAAAGCGAGAAAGATGGAAAAGGCGGCGGCGATCGGGAAACACCAGACAACTTTTCCGACTTATCAAGGGAACCGGTATTAGGAATCTGAAAGTGAGTGAGACTATCTCGGAAAAGGATGGGACTATTATTTATTCTCAATCCAGGAGATTGGATCGATGGGCAGAACACTTTAGGGACCAGTTCGACTGGCCTCAAGCCACTCTTCGGTTACCCAAGATCTCCAGTCAACTCGAATGGTAAGTCGACGTAAGCCCTCCGGATCATTGTGAAGTTGAAAAAGCTATAGGAAATCTGAAACGAGGGAGAGCAGCTGGACTAATGTCGTATGGCAACTAGGGACAATTTCTATGAGTCAGGTTTTAAGCTGTTTTGGCTGATTGACACAACTGAGCATTCGCTTAAGTTTTCATACCATATCAGCACAGCAAAATGAAATTAACGATACGAATACCAAAGTAATTGTATTGTCAGTAATTTAAGACAGGAAAAATATAGTTACGAGGTAGTGTGCAAAGTAACCAAGGACTAGACTAGGAGTGAATAAATTTGTGCCAATAAAGTTTGATTTGCTTCATATAAACTAAATTTTTCAACCACTCATCACAACTGTAGTCCAAACGACAAACAAATAGTGCACTGTGTAGCTTAAACCGTTTTAAATCATTTTAAATAATACACCTAAAAAGTTGATTGTCAGAGCTTCACAGATTTCGTCCGTTCACATTAGTATCTCATGAACCTTATTACTGCTGATTACTAGTATTCGATGGTATATTTGAATGACATGGCTCAAAATCGTTCGCAATGGCGCCGGTGCATTTATTCTTTGTGTTCTCTCAAATCCTAATCATCTGGATTCTTCAACACCTCTAGTTTTGACTTTCTAAACTTTTCTCACTGGATTATACTTCTTGAATAATATCTTCTAATCCTAACCTAATCTCCGATTACTTCCAATACCTTTACTACCTATTCTACTATTGGATTTGAATTGACAATTACATCTCTGTGCTGATGCGGTATGGCGACATGAAGTGATGTACTTACGTACGAAGTTCTACGTTGCATCTGACCGACTGACTGTTAGACAGTGAATGAACTAAGCTTGCAAGTTGATACGAGGAGATACGCTGCACGGCATACCCTACAGTGATCTGGTGCGTATGCGTGACTAAGATCTTTCAGCTAGGGTGGAAATCTAATCAGGTCGGAATCAATTTTGAAAACTGTTTATTGTGGGTATTTATTTGCTACTACTTAACATTTAACAGTTTGGTGAAAAGATGGATAATTTACGAAGCACAGTTGTTGATTATGCTGCCAAAAGTTGAAGGAATAATTCCTTGTGCATAGTCTGAATTTCCGTTAGCCGGAAAACTTACCGAGTTTTATTATACTGGTTATATAAAGTTATATATGTGGTGACAATTAACACTAATCATAACTACGTCCAAAACACCTGATGAAAACAGGCACGTCAAATTCCTAATCTGGACCGATATTCTTATGTTGCAAACAAATTTATGAATGATTGGATGGAGAATGTTATTTGTATAAACAAATCCAAGATAAGGCTAAATAAACATGAATGAGGTAGTCTTGAATACACTTTAGGTGATCTACTTCTAAGGTAGTGAATGGTAAATTTAGAATGAGCCATATAAGACAACCATCCATAATACGTTTGAACCCGAGTGGTAGGCTGTCACGAAGATTTAGGTTAGAGAGTTGTTTACAATTGAAAGAACACGATAATCCTACACTACCAAGCAAAACGGTAACCATATGGACAGCATTTCGAGCTTCTTAAATACGTAATCGCTTTTTCAACTGAATAGAAATTCCGAAGTAAGAAAACTATTGCACAGTATTAGAGAACTCAGTTAATAAAATTCTACTATTTTAATGACAAACGCTCTAGACTACAGTAGGAAAATGTGGATTTTCTTAACGTAAACAAACCGAGGGACTTACTTCTTTTCTCAAATACGTCAGGATAACTGGGATTCCGTGATAATCCTTACTGTCATGGCTGAGAATTGGAAAGTTTTCAACGGTAAATTGATCAGGTATCTTCATCTTCATATTCATACGTGCTCCTTTTAACCTGATATAACACTGAAATTATCACAATAATTTTTTAAAAGACTCACCAATACTAGCATGCACTCAGGATCACAAGGCAGGTGTTCATCCGGAGCGGACAGAATTGTCAAGTCCATCACGCTAATTATTTCGAATCAACCCGGCAAGCTGACCTTGTGTAATTCAATTGTGGTAAGCAGTAGTGTATCTGCATGCAAGCAACCATCCCATTACCAGGCTGAAGGTCTAGTATATATCCAATGTCTTTTACACCAGTCGATCTCTTTGCGCTCGATTCTTTTTCGTTCAGTACTGTTCCAGGTGTTTAGTAGTGTCCAATAGATGTAGGTCTAGCCACTCGACTGCACTAATTCTAGTCAGTTGGCAGTTATTTGTGAGTTTGTATGTCCCGTGAGATCAGTTGGTTATAATGTGTTGCTCGTCTCTGCACTCCGTCCAAAAGCTTTATGTCAGTTCCAGCGAGAGTGGAGCTATGATATTATGAACTTCAGGGTGAGGCCTAGTGTACGTTTTTGAGTTAGGGGCAATCCTGGCGTGATGTAATCAAGTTGTCTTCACAAAAAATAAAGGAATACATCTTTCCTGGTGTCCAGGCATTTTCTCGGTTCCCAGGCAGAGCTGTTGTGGCGGTTGGTGTGGGCTTGCTAGGGGGATGTTAACTGTTTGTGTCGCATGGGGCATAATGTTTATAATTGGTTGAGTTCTAACTCATTTTCTAGCACTCACTTTTCGATTCTTTTAAGGCTTTTTTGAAGCTCAGTTGAATCCTGTACACTCCCAATGGACCTCCAGATCTTTGCAGCCTCTCCATCGAGCTAATTTATGCTAACAGGTCATTGAAAGGGGGAGTAGACCTAAGATGGTCCCCTAGGACACACCTGATGTCGAAACCTACCAGCTCACATGCACTTCATTTACCGTGGTAGGAAACTTTCTGTTCTCAAGGTAGTTTCTAGGCCGATAGAAGTGGATCAGTGAAGCTTATTTTCGTAACCCTCGCAATTAGGATTAGATTAGGTATTGTATCGAAAGTCAAGGGATATAATATGGACTTTTATTTTTAGGTACCCAACGCTGTCACATCCTGGTTGCATACCTTGGCGCAAGGACTTCTATTTCCTCAGTACTAACCTGGAAGTAAGTCAGATATTCCCCAAGCCATCGGCTAGCACCACAGCCGAATACTAGTCTGGGTTCGTGGGTATACGGCTTAAGTGGTCGGTGAGGTTGTCAATAAAGATTTCAGCTATTTCTAAACTGGTGAGATATTCTCCATCTGGACATCTGACATCCAATATTTTGAGAGTTCCGTATTGCTTAGTATGTTTTACTGTTCTCTCTTGCACCCTACTGACTTACCATCTCGTTATGTACTGTCCTAGTAATAGCAATAATACTCCTACAATTTCCTGCTTACTTCATTAAATATTTTCGACAACTATATCGTAAATGCTTACAGTCGGTTTGAAAACATATACCATTCTCCCCAGAACTGGTACATGTATTGTACTGATGCCTAGCCTATAGTTCATACGTCATAACATTCAGACAAATTTGTAAAAATGAACTTGCAGAAACAGGGTTTCTCAACAGGATGTGAAATATAGAGCCTTGAACAGAACATAAAATATACCATCTTACAATAATTTTAAATGAGCCTAACAACAAAGTAGGACAAATGGTGGAATTACTGACCAGCAAAACATTGATGGTGAAAGTAATTGTTTCAGTGCACCCATGTTTTTTGGAGAAGAACATGTTGTTTGCGTTTGGCTCATGTTAACTGATGAGGCGACTGACCAGTGGTACTGGTACTTTCCAACAGATTCCATTCTGTGATATGCTCACCACCCCGAAAACCCTACTGTGTAACTACCCTGTTTGCACTCACTTGTTGAAAATGTGGCTGTATTAAACTGGTCCGGTCAGTTACGCAGTGTACATTCGCTAACACAAACAGACTATTGTTTTTAATCTAATTGCACAACCTATAACAGTAAATATGGTAGCATTTGTGACTAGTTGATCTGGCATGTAAACTCGCAAGCCTCTTGTAACACAATGTTATTTGAGAATAAATGTATTATTACCTTATAATAATAATAATAATAATTTATTCTCAAATAACAAACATGTTACAAGAGACATGCCAATTTACAGGCAAGATCAAAATGTTAAGATTAACAACATATTTCTTTTAAAACGGTATACATTTACTGAAACATTTCACAAGATTGTGTTCTTAAAGATGGAATGTTCAATGCGAATAATTGGCGCAAGTTACGAAGGTTGCGTTACGACAATCATCTTATGGACTGAGAAACGATTCATGGTAGAGATAGGTTTGCATATAACAAGAATTGATGCGGTAAATGTACAAAGGTATGGTTGATATTCATCAGCTAATGATTTTACATGTTCTTGGGTAGGGTAACCAAGTCTACTGCAAATATCCAGACTAATATATGAGGAGTGGAATAAGGTTCTGAAAAAAGAGGAATAAAGAAGACGGGACGAGGAGCGGAACAGAAAATACGTTTATAGATAAAACAAAGGTATGTTTACTCAGACTTTTTTGATATCATTACTGTACACCTGCACTTATGTAGGTTAATGAAGACAAATTATTGGTGAGATAACTATTGGGAAGTTAGTCGAAAGAATAGAGGAAATTCAGAAGTACCAAGTTGTTAGTAATAATAGTTGACAAACAAATAACTAGATGTTACATTCACTGCTCCTAAACATCACACGATTACTGCAATTAGTATTCGTTTTCACCGAAATGTAAGTCAGAACACTGGGCTTGGAGCTAGTTTCTCAAAGATATGCTGACGTCCGTCGTATTTCAGTCAGTTTTATTTGTGCGACATACACAGTCGTATGCATTAGTAATGTCGTCAGGCCTTGATACAGATTCTCAACGAATGAAGTCGAGCGTATCTACCTCCAGGAACTTAATCAACGCCAGACTTCACGACCTAAACGGAATACCAACTCTCAATCGATACTCTGTTTTCTTGATCATCCTACTAATCGATATTAAACCACAACCAGTTGCATCTGATCAAAATATAAACAACATACACTGCTTTCGCATTTTATAGTTATTACCAATTGCAGTACAGCAAACAATATTATGCAATGCATTTATTATTTTACTGCTCAAATGGCCTCATCGTACGTACAAAACCTCTTTTCTGTATAAATGAAAACTCATTAGTCACTAATCGATGCTTAACATATTCATACTTAATCATTATTTATCCGCATATTTTATCGGTGCCCCAGATCAGATCTCGCTAAATTCTTCCCCATTTATTTTTCTCGTTTTATTCTTTCTTCGTATTCATAGACAATGAGTTTTCACGATAATATAAACGGCTCACAGAAAAGTGTCATTTTATTCACCAGACTGTCACACCTAACACTTATGATAATTTTAGTACACTTGTACACTGTATTCACTCTAAGGGCCCACAAAACGCTTTATCTAAAGGATACGGTTGTTGTCGTGTACGCAACTTATTGAGGATCCTGTTCCTGATACTGATTAATGACTTGATATGTAAAATTAGTTCTGCGGCGCTAATCTGCACAGACGATGCACTGGTCCATTCGAAGCAAAGAGGGTTCAGCTGAACTTCAAAAGGACCTCACATCTTTTGAGGAATGGGCAGTGAAAAACGGTTTATAACTTAATCCATCGAAATGTCACGTTATGCACATGCTGCCCTACATAAAGCAAACGACTTATACTCTCGACGGAAGTCCTCTTCCAAATATCTCCTCAGAACACGATCCTGGTTTCATAACCTAGCCTAGACATCAGTTGGAACTACATAAGGAACACAGCCAAGGACAAAGAAACAAGTCGCTTTTTGCGAAGGCAGCTGGATGCCATCACCTCACAACTATTCCTTACTCTTTTAAATACATACGCACGCCCACACCCTGAGGTTCACAACGCCATCGCATCCCCTTCCCTTAAAAGAGAGTGCAGAGACGAGCAAGGAAATGGGTGACAGGGTCGAAGAATAAAACTTACTAAGATAGACTCCAGCACTTGAGATTATTGTCGCTGAGTTATAGGAGAATTTTAGGTGATTTGAAAATCGGGTACAACATATTACGGACGCCAAACCATCCCACTGTGAGCATCTGACCAAAGCATCACCACCACGCCTCTTTGAGGCGATCCTGAAAAATTTCATTTCAAAGAGCGAACATTCAGGTTCGAGCACATTTTTTCGCATTAAGAGTTGTTACAACGTAGAACTCTCTCCCAGTGGATAGCTTTAAGAAGATCCCTGATAAAAGCCTATTCACTAACGGATTTTCATCTTCCTCTTAGACCAACAGTGTCTGATGCATATCTTGAGACTAGCTAGTTGTAATTATTACCATTTCTTCAGATCACTAACTTCATCTACCATGATTATTATATCCGTTTTCTCTTCTTTGCTTATATTTCAATCCTCTGACACAATCTTTACGAACAATCAATCAATTAATTTATCCCTTTATTTACTCAGTTCTGAAATCTTCTTATAAGCTTTAGAATTTTCTCCTTATTATTTTCCTTGTTGCAACTAACTGATCTCCAACCTGGTAATTCTTAATCCCATCATAGGCACCGAAAAAGGACGTACTTCAGTATGATGACTGTTCGGACCCCACACAGTAGGCATATTAGGTATTTAGTGGGCGTATCAAATGAAAGAATTGATTACTGTGGGTAATTCACCAGCCTGTTGGACCTATGAGGCTCATTTGTGGTGGTTAGCCGAATGTAACGGTAACCATCCAGCCTCATTCTGTTTAACAGGAAAATAACAAAGTCTTATCAGGCCGAAATACATTTCATATGGCAAACAAAATGAAGAATAACCAAAGCCAAAAGCTACCAGTGTTTCTTCCTTATGACTTTAGTCTAAAACAAGCTGAAATGTGGGACAGGAGCTTAAAATACATTTTATACAAGTAAAGAAAAAGGTAAAGGTATATTTTAAGTCGCGATGTGAGCAAAATGTGTCTCATTTGGCATTAAGCTATTCATTCAGTGAGTATATGATGCGCCTTCGAGAAGCGTTTCCAGCCTGTTTCTTGGTCCACAGTTCCTAATTATTACAGGTGCCTCAATAGAAACTTAAAATAAAGGTTTGGTT